TTGAATGTATTTGATGTTGGAAGACAATCAAAAAAGAATCTGTTGGTTGGCATGGAATTAAACATTTGAAAAAGAGTAACAGATCTAAATATATGTGCAAAATTTTCCCCAAAACGTATTCATTGTATTTTAGTGGTACAACGTAATTCATTATTTTCACAGAGGACAACACGGTTGTTGTTCGATCTGTACTTTTCGCGTTTTCGCTTTCTCATTTTTTTAATGGACGCCGACTTTCTAGATTTAACTGAACATCGTATTCGGAAACGCACCTTGCCCATTTGCACTTTAAGACTTGGTCTGTGCGCACTGGTAGTTAATACTAAACCAATAAATCATTTAAAGACTACTCTAATCAAATTCTAATAAATCAGTCATAGCTGCAGATTAATCTAAATGATTTCTTTTTAATCGACAACCAACAACAGCAAGAATGGCTTCAATAGAAAGGTCTGTGAACTCGAGAAAAGCATGATCGAGTTTGATGGATGGCTGTGTCCGCTTTGTCGGCTTCAAAAAGTGTTTGGTAAGGAAGTGGTTTGGTCGGAAGTAATTTATAAGAAAGTTATGAGAGCGGATCAACCGTCTTCGAACCGGAATCTAGGTTATGGCCTTCTTGTGTCATTGTGCTCATTTGCTTTTTCAAAGGAAAAGTTCATGCATCAATCATGCACAGAGATCCAGAATATTTCCTATTTCATATTCTGGGATATTTTGGAAGCACAACGAAATGGTTTAAAGAGTAATACAAGCAATTCTCAGAGCTATTCTTATTTCAAAATCTAACCTCTTGGAAGATATCAGGGACTTTGACGAGAAACTTCAAGATTCGTTCAATTCTATTCTGACTTTATGGCCATAGCTTTATGGTTTAAGCTAAATCGGATAAGGTGACAGAGACTTCGAACATAATTTGCCTGATTATGTTGTGATGTTGTAGACTGGTGATCTTGATTCATCTGTAAATAGGTACATTTTGGGGAATTAATTTGAGTCTTGAAAATATGTAAATAGTCTTCAGAAGTACTAGAAATATTTGAAAACCGCATAATTCCTTCAAAAACATCTCAAACTATGAATTTTACTCACTATTTCTATATAATTTTTCTATATATCACTGAGTATCTTAAAATGACGAGTAATTCTGGACAGGCATGGATTTGAAGGCTCAAATTTCGACGGTAAGCTGTAAACACTATCAGTATTGCCTAGACATGATCAAAATTCCTTCAAATGAAAAAACAGCAATGGTATAATGATCACGCCGTTCTCTTTGCTTGTACTTTAAAAAAAAATACTAATACTGACTTCGGCGATGTAAACAAATGGAACCCAGCGAGATTCGAAAGCAATCAATTTTTCCCAATCTATTTCTGTTTGTTTACGGAAGATTGAAAATGGCCAAGTTGTGTCTTGGTAAATATCGCTGTCATATTTAACAGATGATTTGACTGCATGTTGTTACTTGGAATAATCAGAATCGTTACTTCACGAGCCAAATTGGTAGCCTACTATTTTCTGCAGCAGACGTCACTGTTTGAATGGTTTTGGCGCCATTTTTCAAAATTGTTTAGCGGCAGACGTCATTGTTTGTATGATTTTGTCTCCGTTGCTAAATTTAAGCAGCCGACGTCACTTTTGGTAACCTATTATTCTGGTTCCATTACGCCTGTATTAGCTGAAGTTCTTGTTGTCGATTTAGTGCTCCATTAAAGCACTTTTATTGGATTTATCGACTGGTTCTGTCATATTCAGAACTGCTTATGCAACTAATCACGAGGCCATTACGCTCCTTAAAAATCCAAACGAAACTTGTTCTAGCTAATACAGCACCATTAAAACACCGGGTATTGATATTTCAATGTATACCAATATATAAGGAGCTTTCTTTATGATTGCGCCATTGTAAGACTGGTTATGAGTTTAAGTCACGAGAGGGCGCTGTAATATACCATGACAAACCAAACAAAGCTATAATTACAGACAATATTGAACCATTTAAACTGTGATATATGGTGGAATCAAGTCACGCGATTTGGTCGTATCGTATCTCACCTCAGCACATGCTTTATGAGCTCGTCTCGTTCCTCGCCTACAAATTTCTTACAAACTTCGCAAAGGTGATAATTTCTGTTCTCTGCAACCATCATTTTAACAAAAGCTTAAGAGTTATTACTGTACAATAAGCGACTCGCTCCACCTACACGTGATTCATTCATACACCCTACACTGGTGCTTTAAGAGTCCTGTTCACGATAGCGTGTGTAATTTATCGGATTAAAGTTTTCCCTTTTGGTCCTTTTCATCGTTATATATTTATACTTCTAAACATTTTTTTCAAGTGGATCGGATCTGTTCACATCGCGGCCTTAAACAAAGCAATGGAAGTTATTCAACCATTCAAATGATCTGTTGGGGCACCGTTTCTTTTATCTTGCTACAACGATTAAAAATTCGGGAATCTTGGCATCCATGTCGTCAATATGCAACAGAGACCCATTCTTCTAACCAAATCAATCACACTGTGTTAAGACTGTGACATGCTTTCAATTAATAATACAGAATTACTCATGTCACCCAAATGCAACAGAGACCGAATTATCTAAACCGATCCTCTCTCTGTGTTAAGACTGTAAGATATCACAGCAGCTTGTTTCTGATATTTACAATTGTAATCCAGATAAATAGTTCACACATGACGCCTGTTGATAAAGGAGAAAGAATGGTGTTAATGTGCAACAGAGACCCCAACTTCTTACCAATATCCTCTCACTGTGTTAAGACCGTCAGATATCACGGCAGGTTGATAATTGGAACAGTAATCACCAGGTAAATTGTTTACATGTCTAATTTACCTTGATTAATCTATCTTAATTACAATCAGCACCCTGCCATTCACAACATAGTTCTCGTATTTCTATGGGTTTTTAATTACTAACTCAGTGAAAAAACCAATTGTATGTCATTAAAATAAATTTTTAATGCAGGTACAATTAACAACAATTACTGAATGAAGCAATTGTTATAATTGTTTTCGCTTCATGTTAAAGAGCACATTAGAATGAAAAAAAATCACAAACTTTTAAAGGAAAAAAGACTTAATAAATCAGTTAATTTGGGTCAATAGATTGATATACTTCATATGTATTATTAAAATAACGACTGATCAGAAAGAGTGAGCCTTTTTCTTTTCCATACATTCAATTAACGAAGATAAGGGGTCGGGTCAAGTCGGATGATGCTGCTGCCTAAAGACATATTGATTTCCGGGTTTAGGGGTTAGGAATCGCTTCCCCGTCTCCTACGTTTTTTGATAAAAGTAACCAATCCAGCCAATCGCACTAGAGCGCAGACTACTGGAGATACGAATACAACGTTCGCTATCTAGAATGAAGTACATCTGTATTTGCTCTACACCGAGTCATGATGTTACGAACTTCGTTTGATACAAGAACGGTGGCTATTGCAGTCAAGGTATAAGACGAAATAACAGCTTGAATTTTTTTATCTCAATATATAAGTTTATTACCAAGTCTTTTCATATTCAAAACACTTATAAAAAAAGACTTGCACACTAGTAGTTTAAAATAGCCACTCCTATACCCAAGGAATACAATGTATGGATAATAGATTGATGAAATGCTCCACCAAATAGCTTCTTCCGGTACACATATCGCATTTCATACATCACTTCCGGTTTGAAACAGACACCAAATGTCAAATGTTTTATTAAATATTATCAGATACATTGTGAGATATCATGATTCTTATCTGGTTTTATTTATACATATTGATGAGATGGTACATTTGTTAGTAGGGTATTATGGGGTTATTCGTCCACATCATTGTTACTAACGCATAGAGTAAATTAAACACATTTAAAAAAAAAGGCTCTTAGCCAACTACTAACTGTGGATTCTTTGTTAGATCTCTTCGAATTCCATTTCAGACAACAAAAGGTTTTTGGATTTTAATGAAGGGAAATCGTGAGGTGATCATAGGGTAACAAGGAGTCTTTTCGTCCACGATACACACATTATGAATGGAATTATGTGACTAGTGAATTTCATCTAAACATATTTTGATAAAATGGTTCATTTGTTACTAGGGGATATTTGTCCCCAATGATGCGTTTGTTAGTTAGGTAACATGTTCGTAGTTTATGAAAGTCACTGTTGTTTAGACTGAAACGACGATTTATACAGAAATACCAACTTGTTATTCTAAAACGTCTTATCTTATCTTCCCAGTCACCCCAGAGTTTATTTAATTGTTGATGTTTACACCAGCTTGATCATAACTCTGTTCACCAGTTGTGTTTGTTTACATCATATTTATGAGTGTATCTATTTTAGTAAAACATAATCACTTTCATGTCGGACATCAAAAACCATTTTATAATCTCTACAGGCGGCAACAGGAAGTCAGGTAGCTGTTTTAAAATTTTACTGGCAGATATGGGAATCAGGAGGCGGTTTTCTGGAATCAAAATGTACTTTTACTGGGCAAGATTCCATGAAATAAATCGTTAGTCGATTAACATCTCAGAGCCAAAGCTTTTTTTGAAATTTGTGGAATAAAAAGTTGTTAACTACGTCATATTTTTCCGCTGCAGATTGAACCTTGTGAAATGAGATAAGTTTTAAGTCCTTCATTTCTGTTTCAGACTCAATTTTGTGAAATATATTAGTTGGATCTTACTATACAAATATTGACAATCTTTACCACGCCTTCCCAACTTCAACGCCCCCTATCATCCGCCTCATCAATTCATCTTTACAGCACCCGACCCACCTCCCCCCCTCTCCACCCAACCGGCACTGAACCTTATATAGTCAAGAAGCAAGGAGTGATACTATGACTCTGTACTGTATTTAATTATTTCTGGAGGTAATTCCATTGTAATCCCATTGATTGGTACGACTTTATTTTTTTTATTTCATCTGCAACATTGTGATAAAAACTCCAATTAATTTCTTCTTTTTTACAAAAATCCTAAGATGTCCCTTTCAAATGAGGTAGGCCTAATTGTACACAATATCATTAACAAATCCAACTACATATAGACCTCTTGACCTTTGCGCAAGGCTCGTAACTAAAAAAAAAAAGGGGGGGGGGGTGCATAACTATATTCACCCCTTCTGCAAAATTCGAACAAATTCTCAATTGAAGCTGAAATCAGTCTCTATCTGCCACTCCCTTGGCACATTGGACTGGTAACGGACCTGCTCTGCGCAGAGATGTGTTTGAAATCCATCTTTGTTTTGGTCAAACCGTCTCTTTAAACGTCGTTAAAATAAAAAGAAAGGAAAAATGGTTTTTCTGGATATATTTGGTTAATTGGTAAGGTCGTTGTATTCGGTTTAATTCAGATTTACCCCGCTGTTAAATTCGTGTTTGTTTTTCCCTTTATCGATGTTCTTATATCGTAGTCTTAAACGGAAGTTAAAAATCTCATCCCAATTGTTCTTCACTTGATTTAACTGGCTTCATTTCCGCTAAATTACATCCGCCATATTGGATTAGCGAGGCCATATTGATTTTGGGGGAGATATGAAGCGATTATAATTATAAGAGTATTACAACTAATAAAGAGTTATTACTCCAGACTACTGTAGTCTCGTTCTACCAGACTGTGAATCCGTTCATGATTTCGTGTCATAGTCTCTAAGTACAGTCATGTAGAGATCAAAACTAGATGGAGTAATATATCTATCGGGACTATTGCCATATTAAAGGTCGATGCATCATCTCCCTCTGTCTTTTTTCAATTGAAAAGAATGAGTTATTTTCAACTACGTTGCTAGAAAATAACAGACAAATAGCACTGTTCATATAAGAGTAATTGCCAGTAAACATAACGTAAATCTAGAACAGAATTTCTGAATACGAATGTGACAACGCAGGACTTGGTTGTTTTCGGTTTATTTCGGTTTAGTATTTAGTACAGGTTTCCCCGGTGCACTATAGTCAACGCATAATCTATAATTATTCAGTTTTATGTTTTTATATCGACATTGCTGGGATGAGCTAGGCACAGGTTTTTATTTTTAAGTAGATCAAACCCTGACTATCTTTCGCCATTACTACTTTATAACATTCTTGGATACCTTAAAACTACCAGGTGCAACATCATTGCTACGATCCCCGCCCTATCAAACTAGGACTAGAAATGAGAGTGTTTGGTTAGTTGGCTAACGTCCACTTCCAGCTAACTGGTAACGCAAACTAGGTAGTTGTTGATAGATAACCATTTAACGCCCGCTTCCACCTAACTGATAATCGCAGACTAAGGAACAAGTCTACAGCTAGGATACCTTTATACTGTAGATAAAACGAGAGAGGAAGACGGCAGTTGGTGATAAAATAAAACAATCATTCAAATATTCTTCTACTACATTGACGTTCTCTCGGTTTTAATCAGAGTTGTAATGTGAGGTTTCCTGGTCGAAATCAACAATCTAAGTACATTGAAATCTATTTAAAAGAACACATATCCTGTACAGTTATGTACAGTTATAGTTTGCTAAAATGCTTCGTGGTTATTTTTATTTTCTATGGATAAACGGTAATGAAAGGTGTCAACGTATTTTTTTTTAAAACTTAGATACATAGACATATATTAATATATCTTTCGATAATTTTGCTGGACAATTTCCCTGCAAAAAATGTATTCTTTGTACATTTAAGTATATCATATAGCATCCAATGGTTCACCAAAATGTTGTTTTGGATTTAGGGTTTTGCGGTTCGGATCATTAGTCCTTGGTTTATTTATCCGCGATCTACAAGTGAGGTCTCTGAGTTGGTCATCTTTTTTGGGAGAAACCACACTGTTTATTTGGTAAAATATTCTTAATCAATTTTAATCTTTCTACTTCCAGATAGCCCGGTATATTACCAACAATACGGTACTAGCCAATATCTACAACAAGGAAAATATTACCGTATTTCTACCGAGTAACGACGCCTACTTAAACATGAATGAGAGCCAGTTCGATTACCCACGAGCCGATGTACAAACATGGACCAGAATCCTCCAGTACGGTGCCTGTAAGTAGACAATCTATTTAAAATTATATTCCAAATGGGGGGGGGGGGGGGATATGATGGGAGGGGGTTGATATTGTTTTATTCTCTTTGCAATAATTGACAGTGCATCAGCCATTTTATTTTGTTTATAAGTTCAGTGGAATCAGCCCATTTCCATCCGTCGGGAATCTGTGATGTATACAGGGGACATCGCTTCACGTATGAGTGACCATATAAAAAGGGAGTAAAAGGTAGCTAGATTGTATTTGGCTCACTCAACTCAAATGTCGTTTCAAATTGGACTTTCCTTTCCAGAATCGATGTCAAATCTGTATATCACGTTCTGGGGATTTGGGAGGAGCCATAGTATAGTAACCCTACTGTTTTTAAATATTTCAGTGGACGGAGCATTCTATCTGGATGATATGACTGAGAACACTCATCATCCTACCCACTTGGGTTCCAATCGTTATATATATTTCAATTATTACCCAATTACCAGTACCTCAGGGGTAAGTAATCCAGCTCCACCCTACACCCACCACCCCGTACAACACGATCATCCTACCACCCTGTAACTACCTCAGGGGCAAGTAATCCAGCAACAACACCCCCTCCCTTACCACCCCTCTTCTTCCGCCAAGTAGAAATATTTATACTTTATAGTACGGTAACAAAATCTAAGTATCGTAAAAGAATCGAATGATAACTCGTAATTAGCAATTTGATGCCATCGAGACCACAATAAATTAATTATATCAGAACCTAACTTGATTGTCTCGGTCACAGAATGAAACCGAGAACCGTTTAGTTTATAATTGCTTCTCTGATAAAAAATAATGATTTCTAATTGATGACACATTGGTTTAATTGTCCGGGCGATGTGATACACTCCAGTTCACAAAGGGTTGATTTAGTTCTAAGAAATTGAATCGAAAAGAAGTTTTACGTCCAACTATTCTACGACTGGTAGAAGTTTTTGGGAGGATTGTAGCCCATCTTGGAATCTGGTGATCTTTCCTCTTTATTCTAGTAAATCCATTTGTAAATGGGTACGGATAATCCTGGAAAGACGATCTCTCGATGGTTTGGTCTAGTTTCTAGTAGTAGTCAATTCTGTATAGCGTATTCTTCACTCGTAAAAGACCTGTATATCACGACTACGTAATCCTGTGACCATGTATGTTCTTCTTTCAGTACCACACAGTAAACGGCGCCAGGATAGTTCGAGGAAATATAAGGGGAGATAATGGAATAGTCCATATTGTAGATAGAGTTATTGCCCCTTACTGTAGTTACAAGACTTTGCCAGACTATCTAGAATCACCCGACATCAGATTTTACTCCTTTAGGTAGGTGACACATTTTATCATCCGTTCTAGCGAAATTGTAAAGGCTAGAAGTTCAAACAGGACCAAAAGACTACGTATTAAACACAGTTTACAGCTGTTCACAGCTCTAGACATTGGATTTTCATGTAATTTTGGATCTGAACATGTGCCTCATGTAAAGACAATCGTTTCTACATATCGAACCTTGACCTTGTTTGGGTTGTCAGTCGAGAGTGTGACCAGAATTCAGTGCCTATCGTGGATCTTTAACGTGCACAAGAAGAGACTCGGTGTACTGTCCCATTTGAATTACCATTTCAATCGGTTCGTTATAAACGCAACCATCAAGCCTACCAGAATGTGTTATTACCATGTAAGAATAATGCACAGATTCGTATGCGCCGAAATGTCTTGGTGATATATCATGGCTAGATTGTCACCCCTCTAAATACATGTCTGTTTCTATTCCAGTTCTATAATAAAAGCAAGAATAGTGGTGCCAGAGTTAGCCCGAAAAACCAACCGATCTGATTTCTTCTTTACTTCCTTCTCACCCAATGATTCCTATTTATATCCCATGCCAGTGTATGGGCAGGATCGACTCTTTCAAAACTGGACTCTGCTACAACAGGTTGGCTATATTTTCGTTTGCTGCTGGCATTTCTAAGAATACTGGCCAGTACTGTATCTTTAGTCTTTTGAGATCTGTGCACACATGTAAGACATGGGATCTTGTTGTTTCTCTTTCTTTTTTTTGCATTTGAACGACCAAATTGAGATCAATTCATTATATATATTGGGAATGGAGATGGAGATTTGGCACAACAAAATAGTAACAGATTAAAACTTGATCTGTATCCTCTACTTTCCCTTATATTTCTTTTACTCGTTTCCCCTGTCTCGGTTGGTAAACTATTATATTTATCTAATCTGTAGGTGTATAAAGCTCATTTGATACCAAACGGTGTCCAGTTTATACCCACTCGTGGTCCGATACCAGATTTTACCACAATACAGGGAGATAAACTTACGTTTACTAGATATAATGGACAAGGTAAAAGTGGTCTGAAATTATTTTATTTATAATCCAGTGTGATATAGCACTTGATAGAGCATATGAATAGAGTTAAATAGATATCTAACTCTTTAAGAGCAGTAGGTCATTCTGTAGGACGTTGTTATAAACTGTGTTCTATAAAAAGCTTTAGAGAAACATCCTTGAGTTCAAGCCTTTATAGCAGGACGCTTTTATAGAAACGTTCTTCTGCTATATTGTTTATAAGCCATATAGAAGTAGGAAGATTACAATAAAACACTAATATATTACTTAGATATACTACTTCTAGGTTTATTACATACTACGTTTCGGAACACATACAGGTACTTGATAACGTTACCTGTATGTTTTGCGAAACGTAGTGTGTAATAAATGCAGAAGTAGTATATCCATATATCTTAGTGTTTTATTACGTTCTTCTGCTATCACGATGCCATCTTGTGGTTCAACAGTGGTCAGGACACCATGACCTTTTAAAGCTTCAGATAAAACGAAAGAAGGATTAACAATTATAACGAAGCATATTACCATCAACCACCAAAAAAACTACACCTATATGAAGGTCTTGCAGATATTCCATCCATTTTGAACCACGTATAAAAGTTTGTCCACATTTGATTTTCATTTCAGTATATGTGTCCAATAACAAAGTACGAGCAAGAATTGTCCAGGCCAATATTGCTGTAACGAACGGTGTGCTTCATGTTATAGATAATTTACTTCATTTTGTTTACCAAACTATCATGCAGCGACTTGAATTTATTCCTGAAGCCAAGTAAGTACAGCCTTACATACCGAGGTTTACCACAAACTCTGCTCTGCATAATTTGAAACATTTCTGAAGCACTGTTTGATTTTACCATGTCCAATTACAGACTTTCTCATCCACCCTTGTTCAGAAAGTGACAATTCTGGTCATGCTGCAAAGGCATGGGTCTTCGCCAGCACAATGACAGTGTTTGTCCATCAGTCAATATCATCATCATCATCATCAAATTTCTATCATAATTGTTCAACATTCTCATCATCATCGCACATCATCATCAACGTACATCATCATTATTATCATCATCATGTATTCCATTCTTCAATGAAAACAACCATTTTTTTTCATTTCCAGATCTATGTTAGGATATATGAATCAACTTCCCCAGGATTTAAAGGACAGATTAAACAGTAATAAAAACGAAACGTTTACCGTGTTTGTCCCGACTCTTCTGGCGTTCGCGAAAATCCCAGAAACACAGCAACAAGAGCTGAGAAGAACAGATGAGGAGGGATTAAAAACATTGAATTATGTAAGTAGACATCTAATTTTTTCAATCAGTCGAACAAAAGGTCGGTCGTTGTGTAAAAGTCCGGTCTTTTTTCTGAAAATTGGTACGAAAATTAATTTGGAAGATCAATGCCAAGAGGTTTGGCCAAAGACCAGCTTTGTTGAAGGAATCTGCATGAACCTAACTTATTAGCTTTGTAAAAATGGCTGTTTCTATCGGACTTCAATCCACATGCAATATTGACGATTTGATTACCGGTTCCACTCACCGATTTTATTTTTCAGTTAATTCAAGGTCACATCATTCCGGGGAGAGAAATCACATCAAAGGATCTGGAATCAGACCAGACGTTAACCACCATTGATGATAAGATTGTTTCCATTATCCACGTCAATGGAGGTAGGCTGATCAATATACTTTCCTTTTAAATCTTTCAGTTTCTGTCAAGTCCTCAGCTAGCGACATGCTTTTTTCATTTCTTGGGTAAATATCCACTGGCTAATAGGAGAAGATTTCACCATGGGTCTTGTGCTATGGTGTCTGTATGAATAGTCAGAATAAGGGAAATAACTCTTAATTATAAATACTACAATCTACAAGCTCAAAGCTGGAGTACATCACCATCCGTCTTCTACGATTACTTTAGTGGGTATTGTTACCGAAACAGGATGGATACTCTTCCAGAACATCATATGCTAATCTATGATTGTCAACTCATCTCCAGAGTCCACATAGCTTGGTTTGACACTTCGACTTTTCGGCTTTTATAGATTTCACATAGCTTATATGTACATATTCGTCTTAACTATTTTCCTTTCCAGAAACCTATATCGAGAGTGGAACAGTACGAGCTAAGATTGAAGTGATGGATTTAGGTTGTACCAATGGTGTGATACATCTCATTAGCAATGTTCTGTTCATGAAGAACTTTACTCTGTGGGAAGCCATGGAAAATATCCCTCTTATTAGGTACGTATTGATACACGAGCAGATTGTGATTGATTTAAGTTAGATCTAGATTCTTGTGATCTTGTACATGCGCTCCGTGTATGCTTCATTTTAGTCTTGGATGTACACCTTTTCTAAGTTTCATATTAGGATCAATCCGGCAGTCGTGATCCACATTATTATGCCCAGCTTGGAATCTTCAGTGGAAGTGAGAGGAAACATAAGGACTGTCTAACTGATTTTTGTGTTGACACTGTCAAAATTTTTCCAACAATCTTGGTTCCAACCCCAAGGAGAAATGTTGTGGTAAATATGGACAAAAGTTGGGAGTGACGGGGACATGCCTGCTTTAGACTACACCAAAAATGTCAACGCCGATATTCTTGTATGTGTATTTCAGCAAGATGTTTTCATTCGCTATGAGGTATCCTGATATAGAGGAGAGTATGATATCCGATAACACGGGACCTAGAACTGTTTTTATAGCTAGTAATGATGTACTGAACCAGGCCAACCTGACATATCTCATGTCCTTTCCTTATATAGTACATGAGGTAAGATCTTCTACTGGAAATACGGTCCATATTGGGCCGCTATAGTTCCTGATCAGACGTCAGATGGTGGTTATATATGATCAGCTTGTAGCAAATGATGCATACTTCTTATTTCATCTTATATATAATTGCATAAACTTAGATCGCATTTGCTACGGGATGTTTACTGGCTTGATTGTTGAGTAGATTAACGCCGTTGCCATGGAAATCATTTGTCTTGACACTGCGTGGCGATGTCAGTCACAGTATGTCCACTAGGAAGCAGAAAAGTAGGACGCAAAACTCCATCCCATTTATAATGTCTGTGATAAACTGCGTGAATACTTACATCACAATGTAATTCTAGGCAATGAAGGGCCAGATTGTCCAGGGAATCCACATGTCTTCAGATATAGCCAGATCCATCCAAGTTGGTACGATGGCAGGCAAAACACTGACACTTTATAAAGAGGAAGAGTCCGGGGGTAAGGCTACGTTTTGTTGTTGAACATCAGCTTGGTGTATTCTGGTGCTTTTGTTTGGCCATCAGAAATATTCCATGGACATCAACTGGACTCGTGTATGGATAGCAATTACGTTATCAAATGACTTTCAACGTTTCGACGATGGTATTCTCATCTTTAGCAAGCAATGGCGGACTTGAACTACTGTGATTGGTCAAAAAATACTTTCAAAAGAGGCTTTATGTAGTTGCAATATAGTTGTTTACCGTTCGACACAATTTGACTAGATTCTACTATCACCATCGCAAAGACCATCTTGAATTTGAGTTCCAGAAAGACGAAATGTCCATCTCTATGCCTCTTATAATCAGTTAGTTATTGTTGATAAAACCTGTGTTTCTGTTGATATTGTAGAATTCTATGTCGAGGGAAGTCATGTTCGAGCTAAAGTGATCGTGAAGGATATCTGGTGCTCGAATGGAGTGATGCATATAGTGGATGACATTCTTCATTTACCGATTAGAAGCGTTCTTCAAGAACTTTCTCGGCGACCTGAACTCACGTACGTTTCACAAATACATGTGCTTATTCACGTAACAATAAATTGGTTAAAGTTGTCGATATTCATGCTGGATTTGCCTCAATTTGTTATGATTTTCGTTCCGGTTTATCCCAAGGCTAGTGATTCAAATTGTGGAATGGTAGTAAAAATATGTAAAATATGAAACGAAATATTTAATTAAATGGTCTGTTAGGCAGATTAATATTCATCGACCTTTCTTGGGTATTTCTTGTCTGAATCTTCATTAATTTGACCTTTTATTTGCCCTTTGTGGGTTTTTCTTGTTTACCACTGCATTAACTCGGCCATATCTACGTCTACCACACCCTCCCCTCACTATTTCCAGGTTTACCTATGGTATGATAGATGCAGTCCAGGCTGTAGAAGAGAAATTATCAAACCTCTCAGAGAATTTCACCCTGTTTATTCCACATAACAGTGCTTTTACTAAATTACAGTGGTCTACTATAGACGATGTTTTAAAGGATATCTCTGTTGCCAAAAAGGTAAGAGATCGATTTTGTTTCTTAGTGATGAAATAGGACTGTCTAATGCACTCTGCCCTTAAGATCTTGAATGGAAGGTCGTTTTTGGTGTGAAACTTTGGTTCCAGAAACTATTTGCCACACATACAACCAAGTTTCCACCATTGCCCTTACCATGGTAACGGGGCCCATTGTTCAGTACGTTGGAGGTTTTAAGTTCAGGCCAATGTATTCAATTAGGCCTTAGCTACAATAAGTACTGTGGCGTTTCTACTGACTGGCCCGGCTTTATCCCTCTCCCTTTTCCAGTATCAAATGTCTTTGGCTGGGAGCTCTCCTTAACAATTCTGTGAGCTAATGATTCTGAGAAACGCTGCTGATGAGACACTCATTCTTCTGGAACACGCGATGAAAGTCTGTGTCTTTGATTATTCCTATACGGATCATTTCAGATGTTGGAGTGTCATATTGTATCTGGTGTAGCTAAATATATAGATGAAATACGAGATGGAGAGATGTTACAGGCTGATGAAAATGATATTTATCTCATTAGAAACAAGGGGCATGGTAAGAATTTATCCCATTCCTGTTTTCTAAGAGTAATGAAATAAAGGATTTTGTACTCTTCTACTTTCAAACAAAATACAAGAGCCAGGTAGAATGACATATTCCCACATTTGTGAGGCTGATCTGAAGAGTTTTGTCGACAAAAAGCTTGCCTTGAACATGAAACTTCCCAGCCATGTCGGTAAAGGACCTTTTAGCCAAGGGGGGCAACTGATGGCTGCGAATTATCTTATCAATCTTTTTTTTAATTTCAGTATTTGTGATCAATAATAATCTATGGGCGAGAATCCTGACCCCCGATATTCCGGCTAGTAACGGTAGAATTCACATCATAGATACTATCTTCTCCTTACCCTACATGTCGGTAGCCGAGGCACTGGAGAATATGGAAGAACTACAGTAAGTACAATACCAGTGGCGTTACCGGCAGGGGGGCATTCCCCAACTCCAAAAATAAAGCTGACCCTATTTCTTATCATTGAAATACCTGTCTGCTCCTTGACAATTCTGTGGTCCATACCTTCAACTCTGGTTATCACCTCCATCATGAAATGAGTACCCCTTGAAGACTATTTTAAAACCCTTATAGAGAATCGAAGACCATGTTTTGAGGACCAGTAAACAATGTATATGTATTAAGCCCCACCCTGGTGTATTTTCAGGCCGTTTCAAGACCTAATGAGTTTGGTTCCAGAATTTAATGATCTGATCACATCTAAAGACAGTCGGAAGATGACATTGTTTATACCCTCGGGGAAGTTTATAGAATCTCTTGGATACGATCCGATCGATAGAATACAAAAATCACCTAAAATATTGAGAAGGGTACGTTTGTTTATATATAAAATTTGAAAAAAACATGCACTAATGATCCGAACCGCAAAACGATACATTGGTAAATGAACTACCAACTTCTCTTATGAGGAAGTATACCAATGATAAATATGCATGCCTATTTTACCCCTGCAAGAGGAAAATATTAAGCCACTCTAATCCTAGGGATAAGTCACACCTTTTGAAATGAATCAAACAGAGACGACAGTTGTGGAATCGGGCTGCTGGTTGATTCTGTATAAATGTGTCTTAACAGCACAATAATTCATCTTATACACGTATGTGTATGTGAGCTCATGTCTATGGATTGTGTGTATCGTGACAGACGGTCATAAGACTCGGCAGTCGTTTTGGTCTTGATCAAGGACTAGAATTATCAATTATTTTATTTATAAAATTCTTATTTTAGTTGTATGCTGGCCATGTTTTACCTCAGATGAGATTCGATGACGCTTTCTTACGTAAATACCCAGAAACTGATTACGTCAGCAGATCTGCCTTAAACGTCACATTTACAATTAGTCGCTCAGGACCAGGTAAGACTATTACGAAGATCTGAGTCTTTAATAATAACAAGTACCAGGCACCACCCATCACGCACCATAGGGGATGTTAGAACCTTAATTTTCTTAAAGAGATCGAGTTGTGCTTTATGGTAGGCAAGGAGGTCCCAGGGACCCAGGAGAAACTTTAAAAACTTGGGGGGAATTATGAGTTACTTTTATGTCGGGAAACATTCTTTATTCTATTCTCTAAAATTTAACACGTGACCTCAAAGAGAAAAAAAGAAAAAAGAATGAAAAGTTACTTTAAACAGATAGCCTAAATAGTCTATCCTTAAATATGACGTGGGCCGGACACGGGCTATTTTATGCCCACACAGAACAGCAGTGTGATAATATTCATTTAGGGTTACATTGATAATCTAAACAGACCCTTACCTCAATGCCAACTTCTTGAGTTCTTGACCTGTATTCAGAATTATGTCAACGCCATAAATATAAACACTGTATAACCGACGTCTGTCTGCTGAGTGATGTTTGTTTACCGTCTGCTGTAGTGCTGTTTGATAGTAGACAGAAATCGAAAATGTCTTAGATATGTTCCTTGAAAATTGTTCATTTCACTAATTTAACACTAATGCTCAAATAAATCACAACTTGATCACGCTCCTGCCTCTAGTCCTAGAGTTCTTGACGTGTATTCATCATTTTGTCAACACCATAGGCATAATAATAAACACTGTGTTACTGACGTCTGTCTGCTGATGTTTGTTTACAGTCTGCTGTGGTTCTGTTTGATAGTTGACAGAAATCGAAAATGTCTCAGATATCTTCCTTGAATATTGTTCATTTCACTAATTTCACATTAAATTAATCACAACTTGATGACGCTCCTAGCAAAATATTTTGAAGCAGACACCGTTCGCGGGGAAGCTACCACGTGATCTGTCATTTGTCAAATTTGGTTTCCCGAACTAGAGAGTAGGCCTAATCGTCTGTATTATCCAGACGGTTTGTTAAAATGAGGCGCGTTTGATTACTGTTCCTTCCTGATCAGATACATGTTCATGATTTTCTTTTGTAAACTCGAAGCACAATGAATTAAATAAACTAGATTGCACGCCTCACTTTCAGAATCTTATAGACAAACGAAGTTCACAAATGGACTGGCTTAAACTTGTGCATCTGTAAAGCTGTATCGCTCATGATAGGGAAAAACAAAGTCTTTGACTCACCAAGAAAAGGTTATAAGCTTCTGCTTATCAAGAAAATGGTATTTTATTTTTCTAGAATCTGTAATCGACGCCGGATATGAGAAACATGAAATAGATTTGGTCAGACGAGGGTTTGCCTTCACCAATGGTGTGATCTATATCATCGACTCCTTCCTGAATTATTCTCCTCTCAATCTACTGGAGAGACTCCGAAATGAGGTCACTGTCAGGTACGTTCAGGTTCAATGATCTTTAATAAAAGGCGAAGTAGTATCGATAGGTCAGCGGAAAGATGATTCAAACTGGAAATGCAGGAAAATGGGCACACAGGCTTACGAAATGCATTTGCTAAAAAAAAGAGTAAGGGCCTACATGGATTTTGCTTTGATAGTAGATTTATGTACTTTTTTATGTTTTTAAAGACAAAAAGATATTTGTAAAACAGATTTAATTTGTTCATTCTTTTGCAGAGAATCTATTATTCTGCTGGATCTTCTCGTCACACCAAACGTCACTGATCTTCTGCAACGTGATGACGTCATGTTCACCTTCCTAGCCCCGAGTGATATCTCATCAAATCTCGGAGAATTCAGCGATTTTGCCAAAAGTTCAGATTGGGACAGAGAAGAAAAATTAACAGTAAGTTGTGTCATTACATCTGAAAAAATATTTCCTGTGCTAGACAAATGGTTTTGTGCTGATTTTGGTTGAGGCTATTTTTTCCCTTTGAAAATCAAAAACAGTAGGCCTACGCATAGGGTGAAAAGTTGTTAGCCGGAGTCTGTTCTCTTATGTCATTATACGCACCCTCTTTTACTAAACTGATATCGATAATAATATGTTTTTCAGGTATTTTGGAGACACGTTATAAATGATTCGGAAGTGACGTATAGTGATTTAAAACAAGGTTATATCAGACCGGAAATATTACCATATGACGTCACACTTCAAAGAGACAATGGCGGTAAGATACCATTAAATTTCACCGTCGACTCATTTGAAATTAACCTCTTGACTTCTTCATAGTCATATCGGCTGATGCGCTCGTGATATGCATCTTCTGTTCTGAACATTAGCTGGTAGATTGAGCTCAACCAATATCGACCTTTTCGTTTCTGGAGAGGCCAACGTCCTGTTGTTTTCGGAGAAACTGTTTTGTTATTAAGTACTTTTCTTCTATTTTTCAGATGTACGATTCAGTTGGGAAAATCTCCAAGGTCGCGTCATAAAGTCGAATTTACTCGCGTCGAACGGAATAATCCACGTCATCGACAAGTTTTTATATAAGGATATGACGCCAACGACGACGACACGTAGAACGTATCCAATGGATTCAAGTCAACCGCGTTCAACGCAGACGACAGCCAATGCACAGCCTGTACAAGCAGCTGTGTCCTTACGCCATGAAAATATAGTTCTACTATTAACTTTAGTTTTGACGTGGACATTGTTAAGAATTATCACGTGACAAAACTAATTGTGCTTTCGTTCTTTTTTGAATTTTTAAGGAAATCCAACCATCATAATGTAAATCTTGTAAATATGAATTTTCAGCCATTTTGTAAATGTTTCACACCATTTGTAAATAGTCCCCATTTCTTTACGTCCACGATGTCTCCTGGTTAGTTGGGAGATTTTAATCAAATGAACCAACTGATAGAGAATGTTTTAGACGGCTTTATCCCTTTAAAATCTTATCGTAGCTCAATCCAGTAGAAGTAGGTCCGATTCTGAATTAGTACCCAGTAACAAATCCTCTTAAAGACTACTATGATATGTAACGAATAGAAAAACAAACAGTCAAAAATTAAGACGTATTTATCCTTAATCCTTAATTCCTACTACTTCATTCGTACGTCAGGATTAAGACTTTTTCATATTGGACTGTTTGAATTTCAATGTCAACATTGGTTTAATGAAAAAATAAGCTTTATTCAAAACTTTATGTACGGCATTAAAAGGGAAATGTGTGTCAGCTTTGTAGAAATAGGAACTACTGCCAAGCTAAAAAGCTTAATTGGCGCTAGTGTGAATCGAGCTTAAAGCCCAGTTATTATCGAGCATAAAGCCCAGTTATTATCGAGCTTAAAGCCCAGTTATTATCGAGCTTAAAGCCCAGTTATTATCGAGCATAAAGCCCATTTATTATCGAGCTTAAAGCCCAGTTATTATCGAGCATAAAGCCCATTTATTATCGAGCTCAAAGCCCAGTTATTATCGAGCTTAAAGCCCAGTTATTATCGAGCTTAAAGCCCAGTTATTATCGAGCTTGAGGCCAGTTAGAATCGCGTTCTAAGCCTATTTTGAATCAATCTTTAAACGCAGATTGAATTGAGCTGAAGTCCCAGTGTGAATCGAGCTTAACGTTCAGTGTGAATCGAGCTTAAAGCCCAGTGATAATAGTGCTGATTCTAATGTGATTTTTATAAAACTTTTCTTTCAAACAATTAATAAACATATCAATTTATACTCTCTTGTGAATATTTTAACACCACGAAATCTAGAGGGATGTGTGAAGACATCCTAGGTTATGGTTCTACATTAGGAGAAAATTAAACGTAGGTCATACTGTACGACCGCAATGTTAACAGCATTGCGTTTCCCCTAACATTGCAATGTCAATACCAGAAGACTGGATGTCTTGGAGATTATCTTTGGGATTATGGAAAGGTGAATATCTGTAACTATAATTTTACAGAGAAGAATAGAACAGGTTACCCTTGAGTTTCCTTGTATATTTCAGGCTACATCATCTATGTAACTAACTTTTGTCTTTTTCCCGCTATATTGAGTGCCCCCGCACCCGCCCCCTCCCCACCCACGTCCAAACCACTCTCCCTAAGGGTGACTCAGCTGTAAGTTGGACAAGTCATTAAAAACTTTAGTATCAATTAGCAATATTACCAGTGTAATATCTCCATATATCTTTGGTTTTCAAAGATTGGGTCCATGTGTAATTGGTACGACCAATAACAACCAGCGACTCAATTGAAAAACTGGACAATTCTATATGCAGACGATTGGTTCAATAAAACAAACTTGATACGACTAACAATGTAATTATAGCCAAAACAAATAATTTCTAAGCTAGAACATCAAACAACTGTTTGAGCTGTGTTTTACCTAACATATAAAAACACTATAAGTCACGCGCTTGGAATAATAAAAAATATCGCCCGTCTGATTTTAATTAAAGTGACTAGGTCAGTGGAATATTTGATATGGTTCATTACGTGATCAACATGGCTGTTAAAATGGTACATCCGATCGCCTTCTGTGACGATATAATCGTTTAAACCCCGTTGTATAAAATATGAGGGCCTCTCATAGGTCCGCGCTCGCGCTATACGTTTACAATGGCAAACAATAAAACTATTGTATTAGGTCTAGTACACGGTTTTTCCTCGCAGTGACGGTTGCACAACGTTGGATTAAAATTAGAAATTTATTTTGAAATCATTCTAGACTGGTTAGGGGGCCTCGCCCTCACCCTCACCCCGCCTCTGGGAGCCGCCATTGTTCCCCTGACCTCTGTTTTTCAATTATATATCGATTTTACTTTTTGTATACAATTCTGGGGTCTAAAGCTTCCTTTTAAAGTTTAAGAAAAATGTCCCCGCGCCCCACATGGTATCGCAATACAATCGATGGGTATGCTTTGCCCTTCTTCATACAACTCCATATACCGTAAATGGAGTTTGGCCTTGACCGTGTCGGTGTTCTATACGTGTTTAACGTCTGTGGAACAAGTAGAAACAGATTGTCAGGTAAGATCATGAATACCCTCGACTACAGACATAACCTCTTTAAATGATCCATTTCAAGGATGATGGTACTATAATCAACCAATCAAATTCAATGTTTTGTGTGTCGTCATGACCATTGTAGACAATATGACCATAATTAAAGGCGTGGTGTCTGATTTGTCAGTTAGGGTGGCCTTCTTCAGATTTTCTACCACAACTTTAATGTCATCAGTGGGCTCCAGTCGGACCTAGGATCATTCGCAAGAGAAACAAAGACAAATAGTAAAAATTCAAAAATGGAAATAAAATTAGTTTTCACATTCGGTAAGCATTACTATTTATTATTATAATTACCGAGGATGTAGATATTCCAGCGCTCGTCCAGGTTCTTTCACGGACTCAAACACCAAAGTCTCGCTTTGACATTCAATTTCAACTGAAATGATCTGGAATAGTTATGAAATTAATGTTTATATCTACCTCAATGATTTGGCAATCTTGAACGATGGCTAATGGACTAATTTAATGTTTACCCAAATTTGATAATTTTGGGATACTACTCGCAGATCGCCATTTGGTTGGTTTGGTACCGTTCCGCAAATTGAGTAAACGACTTTGTTTGTAGGACTGCACTCTCCAAGCATCTGATAATTGACCAGGTTAAAAGGTACTGTTGCTTTTAACTGATGCGTAATATCTATAATTGACAATAGAGGAGTGAAAGTCAATATTGAAATTGACTGTTTTTAAAACACAACCATCCCCTCAGTCAATAATAAGTTATACGTATTGTCCTGGTACAAAATAGCAGTCTCCACTTGAACTGTTAGTCAATTATAACACGGCACTTCACAAGTTGTTGATATATCACTCCCATTCATCTATCCGAGTGAAGGTCGGGGAAAGTAAACGTCATAAATAACTCAGTATAACTTATAATAGCTTTTCAATCCTTGGGTACTTTCTGATGGAGCTATTAATGTAATGGTTTCAAAACACAAAAGTGGCTCAAATCCCATATGGACTTGTCAAACCAAGTCCACGAGTCTCCGTCCACTAAGCCCCCTAAACACTAGAGTTTCGATAGAAAAGCAAATTAAGAATATGGTCTAAGAATATCATGAAATTCGGGTTCATAATGTAAAGTCGCAAACTTACCACCGTTCCGCTATCTTACATAAGAATTACTGGAGGGTAAATATGTTCTTTTAACAAAAAATCTTTCCTTTTTCAGTCACCATTCTGGCAACAATCGACGTCATCTCTTCCAAGATGGATGTCAAATGTCGAGATTTAAACCCAGGGGACAAAGTGTACTTCTGCCCACAGATCCTGACCCCGGTCTGTGGCAGCAACATGCGGACTTACGACAACCATTGCGACTACTGTGCCGAACGCTGGGAGAAACAGCAAAATGGAGAAAATTGGGATGTTGTCTTGGACCACGAAGGTGAGTGTTAGCATATCACTCGATACCAGCATAACGACAGGGAGAAGGTTGACACAAAAGAGAAGTTATTTAGCGTATCAAAAGCAGATGGCAGAGATACTGTTTGTATTATGATAACCCTCCAGCAAGTATTTGGCCTGAATTTTCCCGGATTATCCATACTCTACTAACGAAGAAAGACGACTTTATCGAAATATTTATGGTTCTTCAATTTCAGGACGATGCGACTCCCCAGGGGTATCAACAATTCCAACTTTATCAGATATCATCAAGAATCCAAGAGTTCCAACCGGGCAAAACTCACCCTTTCCCAAAGTAGATCCTAACCCGATCTACCAGATCAGCCCCGTAGACCAATCCTTCTCTCCTTTCAGTCAACATATCCAGCAATCGCAAAACGGATACAACTTTTTCAAAAACGTTTTAGAAAGGTACTTCCCCAAGAGAAATAATGGAAATCATTTTGGACAATTTAACAATAGGGGAAATACAGGACAATTCGTACCTTCATGGAAAGCCAATTTACAAAACAGTTGGCAAACTAACAGAGACCAAAACTCAGGAAGATATGATTGGCAAAATTACAGACAAAATTCTGGTTTTGGAAACGGATATCAGGGTTCACCTTTCGATCGATTTTCATCACAGTCTGGTAGTTCACAAACCACGAGTTCACAGTTCTGGAGAAGGGTATGTTATGGTTCTCTAACTTTGTGCAGACAGAAGAGTCTTCAGTCGTTTTTCTCGCCATATTTGCCCGTAACAGTTCATTAAGGTGCACAGAACATCTGTTTATAGTGTGTATCTGATTAAGGTGAATCGTGTTAGTAGGCCTTAAAACACTGTCTGATAATGAAGAGTTATCTTACCCCGTAGCGATTCATTAGAAGGAGAGGGTGAATAAGGTGCCAAGCATTTCATTCATTTTCAGTTTTGAAAACGTATATTTCTATGACAGTTGTATGTATACAACAGGCCATGGGTAACTGTTAAAGATAGACTATCTTTTATATGATATTTTTCAGACCAACTGTCAGTATAGTTCAGGATGTGCCAGGAATGGTATGGTTTGTGGTTCAGATAATAGATCCTATTATAACGAGTGCCACTTGTGTTCTTCAACCAGTCAGGCAGGGCGAGAGGTCAAATTTGTTAAACCCGGTCGATGTTAATCGCTTGTCTTCATAATAAATATAAAAATAATTTATTTTTCTTCAATTTATTTTCCCTTCATTTTTATCAATCCTATTGCAGTTTCTGGTTTCCAATAAGGCAAATTTAATGGAAGTCTCTTTTGTATAAACTGATGAAAAACAATGGCCTTCAATCTCCAATTTTCTATTTTTTGTGCGAATTGCCAATACGCTGATTCAAGATCTACGTTAGTAAATTGTTATAAATGTTATAAATTGAACAATAGATTTAAAAAAAGATAGAAATCATAAGAATTTCTAACCTAAAGACAGTGTAAGAGCAGATACATCCATACACAATAGTCAAACCTCATCAGACTTATTGAGTCAGCCATGTAGCCAGGAAGAGCACATTGGTAAACGCAAAGGATGTCCAACTGTCGCCCCTTTTTCAACATAATCTCCTGTAGTTAATGTGCCATAAAAATAACGCCAATGCTTTTCTAATATTCGAACTAAGATGTTTGTCAACATCCTTGTCCGATTAAAACATTAATATGAGAAGTCCACTTTATTTTTGGGCAGTGTAAGTAGTAATCAACACAATGCAAGTCTGACTTGTATAGTTTCTATTACTATTTACTCAACACCCAAAATAACTGACTGCTCTCATTGATGTTTGGTCAGAATTGGAATTGCATAGTTCTGTTCAGTATAAATAAGATGCACAAGTTAGAAATATTAAAGTAAATTTATTAATTATTTGTTCAATAAGAAGTGAGTATATATAATAGATAAGAATACAAATAAATGAATTATTAAAGTGTATAATATACAGAACTAAATTAATATCGCAGCTTGTTCAAATACATGTGCAGAGCTATCTTAAATATTGCAGAGTGGTCAAACTTCTGTTCATAATGAACTCCCGAAACGAGTGTTCATATTATGTACAGAGCTATCTTTAATATTGCAGAGTGCTCGAACTACTATGCATGGTGAACTCCTAAAGCAGAGTGTTCAAATAATATACAGAGCTATCTTTAATATTGCAGAGTGCTCAAACTGCTGTGCATAGTTTACTCCAATTGAGAGTTCAAATAATCAGAGCTATATATATTGCAGAGTGTCTAGATAACTGTGAATAGCCTTCTCCAAGAATAGCGTGTTGCGATAACTTTAAACAGAGCTATATATAAATGCAGAGTGTCTAAATAACTATATACAGGGCTAATTCAACATTACAGAGTGATCTAACAACTGTGCATAGTTAATTAGTCAATTACAGAGTGTTTAAATATAGTGTCTTTATAGCTGTACAAAGTACTCTCCTAAGTATAGATGTAGCAAAGCAGTAGACCTTTATCCCCAATGAATCTATCAGTGAGTCTATCTGAATTGCCAGTATCCTAATTTAAGATCTAAGTTACTAAACTACCATAAAGCTATGAAATTAAGCAATAGATTTAAATATAGATACAATTCATAAGAAATCTTAACCTTAATTCAATGCATGAACATTTAATCCATACAGAATCGACACTCTATACAGGCATGTGGACAAGATGCAGTGTCCAAGCAAGAGTAATTTAATAAGTGTAAAATTTAGAAAACTAAACCTACAAGTTTACTTAAACCTCTAACACGCGAGATATACCCATAGATATTCCTATCAATTTATAATGCTGTGAGATTAAGGAAATTGGAATTTGATCGAATTGTGGTTTGAAAGTATGAAATGAGTTGGAAGACTAAAAATATGAAACCATCACATTTATAAAGTAAATGTAAAATATTTTTTTTTAAATTTACAATTTTGTAAATGGTTATTTTTTATATTAGTATATCCACAACATCGTCAAACTATATTGTGTAGTTTGCGAAATCTATAAATTAATTAAACCATATTTTTTCAAATTGAAACATCTACAAATTGGTCGCATTAGTAATATGAATGATAAAATTGAAGACTAAACGATGAAAGGTCCACTATTTCAACACATAATTTAATCACAGAAACCACAGACATCTAATAAATAATATAATAAACTATTGTATATTGCAACTATTACAGAATTAAGCCTGACCTACATCGTGGTTTAATTGGTCAGATTCTAAGTGAATACTGGTATATATCAATCTATATTTACCCTTTTACACCCATATATCATAATATATACAATTAACAATGTGTAACAAAGTGTAACAATGTCACGTGGTGAGATTTACTGACCTGCCAATTTGTGCCTTTGAACAGTGAAGATTTTTAACAACTTGTTTTTGATTCATTCCCATAATATCTTTTTTGAAAGCGACTGAAAGTCAAAGTCAACAATGGGTCGACTCTCGGAAGCACTGGAGTTTGTTTTTATAGTAGCCACCATTCATAGTCATTGCAATTGATTTGGGAAAAATTTAACTCCAAATGTAGATTAACTTCGCTTAAAATTCCATTATGAATCTGAAATTGCATGAAGCTTATCGTCTCAGTTTTCCATTGTGAAATTTTACTTGTTGGCTCATTGGCACAAGCTGACAAATTGATAAATCTAACTGGCTGACATAATATCAGTAAGTCAGAACAATCTATATATTATATGTATTCTATATCACAAGTAATGAAGAGGTGGGTGAACAGAAAGAAAACTAACAACTAATGATAAATTATTCTGGATTCTGTTTGACTCAGTTTTTAATCTATAATTTATGAAACTTGTCCCATGTTTCTCTTTGAGAATTAGATAGCAAGCTGCACATAAATACAAAATAACATGAGGTCCAAATAAATTATCGTTTGTGATGAGAATTAGATGCCTTGACGAATTTTCAAGTCAATTTTGTGCTTATCAAGATTTAATACATTCCCACTTACAGAAATCCAAATAATTAAACTTATGAGTTAATAAGTTTCTTCAAGACCATTCAGATTTGGTAACCTATAGTTTATTTCTCAATTTATGACTTGTCGAGATTTTTACAAAGACTTTCAGTCAAACATAAGTACAGAAAAAAAGTGCAGATTTAACAAACAAACTTCTTCAAAACAAACAAATAACAATTCTTAACGAAAACATATTTATAAATAATTTGATTTTGAGGAAATTTCAACAAATAATATTACACAAATTGGTAAAATGCAATTCACATAGCAACCCAGAAGTCCTTTCTCTCTCTCATCATTTTGTTTAAGTTGATTTTATTTGATCTGGTGAATACTCTTAATCAGTTGAAATGATCCTGCTTTCAAAAACGGCAATGTGAATTGTATCTTATAGATGAAAACAGAAAAAATTTAGACAATTATATTGAGCTTCTTGCTTCCTGATTATCTTGCACATGAAAGTCAAATTGCAACAAATATTGTATATCAAAAACAAGTTTTCTTGCAACAATGTAGGCCGAAATTATCATATAACAGAACAGAAAATAACTGAAACAAAATGACTTATTGAATGTATTAAACAATCTTATCAGACAAAAAAGCCAGTCCTCCTAAAACAAGCTAATATATCTTTCAAAAATTATAATCAATACTCGACCTTACAATATGTTAATTTTTAATAATCTTCTGAATGGTGAAGTGTGAATTTCTGGATCAAGTAATTTTAATGTTTGTTCATATTTACTATTAATTTATTTTTAAGTAAACAATATTTAAATCTTACAGTTGTTCCAAGGCAGAATTCTTATTTGTTAATAATTTGATTCAATTTATCAAGATACTTTGTTCAAAATATATATTGTTCGTATTCAGTATTACATATACATAAACAAAACGGTAATATGTTACGGAAAAAATGACGGGTTATTAACCAAGATATTTTGTTCAAAAACTATTTCGGTCCTATTACATATACAAACATTTGAAACAGAAAATGACAAGTTATACAAAGATTCTTGTTCAGAGTGCTATCAATATTTAAATATGGGATATGAATTTAATACATAGATACATATTCAGCCGTTTATCATCCAGTAGGATATTTGTTCCTGAAATACAAGGCACATTGGGAAATTTACAATTGATACGAATTAAGATCAATAAATAAACCTTCAGTCCATTTTATTGTTAAAATTGTTTAGTTTGTTGTATTGTTCAGCTTAGATAATTTTTTTTTTTTAATATTCAGAGCAATTTTATAATGAACTGTGGAATCCTTCAACATCTTTCAAAATTAATGTAACAAATTGACACTGTTATTACAGTAATCTAGTTTGTTATGACTACAGTGGCTATTACAAATATTCACATCCAAAGCAATGAAGCAGTGAAATTGTACCATAGCCAAAATGACTTGTGTCACAAATTGTCATAAATTTGTGGTAAACATGCAGTGGTAAGGATGTGGTAAAGATGTGGTAAGGAATGGAAATGCAGTGGTAGTGGTAATAAAAATATCAAATGTTGTGACGAATAATTAAGATGAAAAGAATCTTTATTTTCCGTTGACTATTAATCTGGAAATCTCGCCCTGTAATTAAGATTGTATAAAATAAAGATAAAAATTAAAAAGGGGTTGCCATAAGCTTTTATTTAAAAGGGTTTAATCAGCGCAAATAGGATTGTAAAATATACATCTGATTAAAATACAGATTTAAATATTTGTTGCATATTTTTGTGGCATTCCTTCACTTGTCATTTATGATCTGACTAAATTCTCCTTTAAATCGTGTTCATTCAAAATCTTGACCTTGTTGCTTCAAATGTTGTTATAATTTATCCTAACCAATCAAAAACCCAGTTGGATGGGTGGGTTGATAATAGAAGCCAAGGTTTTAACAACGGCATTCTCTGAATTCTTTACAAGAGGTTGGTAAATCATTAAGTGAACTGAGAATTTGATTGTTGAATATTTAATGACCTAGAAAACATGCTGCTTGATAGTTTTGTAAGATTATGGATGGCTAGTGGAATCACCCACCAAAAAAATACAGAGCAAAACATCCATTTCTGTATTTTAATCAGATTGCATTGGGTATATCTCTGGATAGGTAAAAATTGAACTCCAAGTCTTCTGATAAAAACCACTACCAAAATATGCCCATGCTTTTGGGAGATGAAAATCCTTAGAAAAGACCACACACAATAAATTTTATCAAAGTAGAACAAAGAAAATATTGCATAAAGGGAAAAAAATCGCCCTAAAAACAGGCAAGCCAGGAAATACAAAGACTGGATTGGTTCCAATTCATTCATATTTTTCAATTTATATTACATTTTTTGACAAAAAATAAGTCTTTACCACAATATCTTTACAATTTGGTTTTTAACACATATTTTTATATTTCCTGCTTGCTTAGGCGCGATCGAAAATTGAGAATATATAAAAAAATTATTTTCAGTGCCCTATTACACAAATTTCTAACAAAATGAATCCTCTTTCATTAGAACTTTGTGAAACTGACACTGGCATGCTTGAGCACTTTCTAAAAAATCCCAAAAGAGGTAAAAAAGCAAAAAATATTTCATGCGATAACTTACCGGGAATGAATAGACAAAGAGAACGACTAATAATATAAATATCAACAGAATCAGACCACCAATAAAATACCATTTATAACGGCGCCATATTATATGTTTAAATGTTTTCCATGGTGACGCAAACCACAGGAATGAGGTGTCAGGACGCCTGGAATAAACAGAAATGATAAATTATTAATCGGTGGAAACGTGGAATGTCAGAAATATTCATATCATGAATTTACTCTCTTTGATATAAACATTTTTATGAGAATATATTTGTTATAAAATTAAATGAACAAATAAAAAATGAAAAGAAAATTTCATTAAAAATAAGAATTGAATTACGAATTCTAGGCTAAAGAAGCTGAAGCTTACATTAATCTGTCAACTAAATATAAAAAATTCATAAATTCATATTAACAAGGTCATAAAAGTTCATATTAACAAGGTCATAAAAGTTCATATTAACAAGGTCATAAAAGTTCATATTAACAAGGTCATAAAAGTTCATATTAACAAGGTCATAAAAGTTCATATTAACAAGGTCATAAAAGTTGTTCAGTATGAACTTACTTTGGAGGATCTAGTTTGGGATGCATATTAGGTTCATCTTGACCACAGCCGGCTGGTCTTTCTTCAGCCTCCGTGGCTGGAATCAACTCCAACTCCATCTCTACTTTACCCTGAAATTATTTTAATTATTAGTCAGAAGTGTTACCATTCTTTGTCCAGCTTAGAACAAGATAGTCAGTTACAACTTTAGTATTGATGTCATTTTCTTGGATACCACAAACAAATGCTTGTTGTGGGTTCTCATTAGTGTCTGAAATAGTTCATCTTTCCACGTTATTCCAGTCGATCCTGTACAATTAATCCAAGAAAGATCAATGTCAAGGTTTTGCCACGGACCAGGTGATAGATAGGATACCCATAAACCTAAACTGTCTGTTAATTCATGACCATGAGGTCTGGTCAAGTGCCAAGTGGTAGACCAGATCCTCAGGAAACTAAGTTGTTATCATTTTATAATATAAATACTTCTTTCTTTTCTTAAATATTTCAAAGAAAAAAAATTTTACCCAACTTACCGTTAATATTTTCTCTCCAGTTTCATCATTATAACATGGCCAGAATCCACGTAACCGTTTACACTCAAATAACGATACAGTCTTTATATCTTTAGGGTTGTTAATATCAGGAATCATTGACAAATCACAGCTTCGAGCTTTCTTGGCAGGGAACGGCATATTATTCAGATTCAATTCCAGAGTTCCAAGGAAATCATCAGCTGAGAATTTATCATTATCCCAGATTTGTGTCATCAGAATTGGGGCTAGATGTTGTTCTGTTTCATCCAAACTCCAGAAATGTTCCTGAAGGATAAACGGATTACATCCAATTATCATATTCTTTTATTCGAATTCATATTTGAGACACATATACATAAAAGCACATACTGATATTCTGAATCAGAGAGTCCACATAGTTTACAATGCCATGTAGGATTCAGAACAGAAAAGATGTTGTCAAAGAATAAAAATAAATAAAGGTGAAGGAATATCTTGAATCTTTTACCTTTTTCTTGACAACCATACTCTGTTCAGCTGGTAGATAATCTAACGGAAATACAAATCTCCAGTTAAACATACCACTTCCATCTAATGATCTGTAGAGAATAAACACACATTAGTGAATGAAAATCTTAAAACTGTCTAGGTGTTTAGCAGGAGAATCATGTTAGTTCTTGGTATTACCTTAGTCAAAATTCTATGTCACCTTACTGCCAAATGATTTTGAAGTCAGCCTGTAGGATACAAATTGTTCAGATTTCCAAAAGTATTCAACTGCTAAACAAACAAATAGTACCACCAGTGAATTGATCCAGATCCAACTGAAACCAAGTAGCTAACAACCAAACCAACAGTACTCAACTATCCTATTGATCCTGTAACCTATCTTAACTACCAACTACTTTGTTGAAGATATCAGATACGGTCAAGATTTCTATCATTTGTAAGCTCTCACCTGTAATGTACATCTGTTTTTTGTTTCTCATCAATGCCGGACATCCATCCTACAACATAGATATCACTCATAGCCTCCCCTGTTATAGATTCTTCTTCCAGTACCACATCAGCTGTATTCCATATTACAATCCGTAATACATAGCTAGAATAGAATTAAAATAAGTTTAACATCCCTACTTTTACTCCGGATTGGGTGAGGGTAGTCACCACCATTTAGTATGCAATAAGGGAAATTTTTCCACAATAGCAGCATTAGTCCACCCTCGTAATATTTCCTTATGTTGAGGGATCATTAATGTGTGCAGTCTGTGGTTTCCGTCTCTTTGCCCCTGTGTATATCATACATTTTGAGGCAAACATCACTGACAAGGGCATCTAAGTGGACAAATCTATGGTATTAACTCAACCTATAGCAGATTAACCATTGGGAGAAGGTAGACTTACCCCTTAGGTTTCCTAGGTTCAACAACAAATGGTGGACCAGGTTCACCCACAGATTTAGGGAAAATATCCACAAACATCTGTACTTTACCCTGAAATAACAACCAGATTGCTGATTATATTTATACACCTTATAGAAATCCGGGGTTACAGTTATCTATATTTAGACAACGAGGATCTTAGCATGAAAAGCCACTGAACAACAGTGTGAATATTGGTTACATCGAACAAATGAGGCACTGGGATCCGATCTCGATCGGCATGTGAAAGTCAAATGACCTTAAATCATCTTCACTCATAATTCCAGTCAACCCAGCCATAAATGGATTAGGGATAATCAGATAAAGGTAATTGCCAAGAGGTTTGGCCAAGGACCAGCTGGTATCACTAGTAATGTGGTTCCAAAAAACTATGGCCACAGCTTGCTTGTTTGTAAAGATGAGAATCTCTGGGGTTAATTTACCTGTTCTATATTTGGCTGTAGAGGGTTAAATATTGGTCGTGTTTCAACGTGTTCTTTGACTATCGGGAAAGTATTTAATACATGTAACGCTAGTCGTTCTTCTGGTGGTCCCCAATTCACATTGGGTCGGACATTATGCTCTGAAATAAACAAATGAGACAATTTATCATGTGTAACGGGCTCGGTGCCGAGCTGAAAAACACAATTACAGATACTCATTCGAAGACTGCAACTAAAAACCATTAAAAGGGAGAAATAAGAAATTTCAGAGGACCATGTACCTGGAAACTGATCTGTTCACTAGCATGAATTTTGATGCTTCAAGTTTCTTCCTGTTACTTGGAGAAAATATCTTGAGGATTAAAATCAACAGAATCAAAATATATCTATCTATGGTTACTCTTTATGAAACAGATCCAAGTTCAAAAGAATACAACTTACCAAAATTAGCCAGATTATGTACAGTTTTACCAACTTTTACACTGTTATTACCATAGTACATAGGAACCTGCATATGGTGTTTCTGACAGTAATCTTCTAGTAATAATTTTGGTTTCCGACTATCTCTCCATTGATTCACTCCAGATCTGGAATAACAATTTAATATTTTAGTTCGACTGAAAATAATTAAGACCATAGGCCTACACCTCCTTGAATAAACTGTGACTTGTTTTACTTCAGTTTGCATTTAGAAGTTACTAGATTTTTGCTTTATTGGATCCAAAAATAAAAATTTTGTCCAGTAAGTGGCAATTTTCGTGCCAAGTCTCATGATTCCCATGAAAGCCCTTTGTTGTTGGTCTCCTCTCCACTGAATAAATACCAATTCTATGTTAGCTGCTGACTGACGGAATACAGTAGACTGAATGTGTACCAACATCGTCAAAAAAAATTTACATAGCTTCAAATGAAAATATCAAGTGAAAGGGAATATAAAACATGGCAACTAGCCAAAGTTCAAGTCTATAAAATAGGAACTTACATGCAATAAGAACCAGGCAGACCACAGAGAGCCATATTTTTAGTAAGGAATCTATTTTCTAAATCTATAACAGTTTCGCCGATTATATCATCAGCACTGATTAAATCATAATCTTTTATTCTTACTATCAGATCTTTAGCTAGTGGAATGGTGGCTTTCAATTCAAACATTCTGGAATAATAATAAGGCAGTTTTAAAATCAAAAAATAAAATCCACAGAATATACAAATAGTACTCAAACAATTACTGATGGTTTCTGTTTTACAAGACAAAAAAAATCCCAAAATCCACAGAAAATACAGAAAAAAAAAATGGATATTTAAACTACCATCTAATCACTTTTTAGGTTTGTGGATATTAACTTGTTCAATTTTCTCATTCGCAAGACAGAATTTGTGGATCTTGACTTAAAGTTCTTGACAGAATTTGGTGTGCCAATCATCTTTTTGATACCCTTCTGGCCGTAGAAAATATGTAAACTTACTTTCCAAACACTGGATCGATAGAATTAGGGATATATTCATCTCTCGTACTTTTCTTCTTATCCCCTAGAATTACTTCTAGATAGGGATCAGCCAGTCCACTGGAATCATTGGGTTGAAGATCAAACGCCTTAATAACATAAACTCGTACAATACATTCTTCAGGTGCACTAGGAGGCAGAGCACTTAAAGCTTTCCTGGGTAGAGGCTCAGCAGGGTCTGCTGGTAGAGGATACACTCGGAATGACCCCTAGGAAAATAGCAAAGATTAGTTGACATGGGTGGGGCTTGAACATATGTAAATTGGGAAGAGCAGGTGTACAGGAGACATGCAGAGCTCTCGTTAGATACTGTTCTAATAATAAACTAATGTTGATTGGATGAATGCAGATATATCAACAATGTCTGATATGTGTCCCCTCAATAACCAAGTAATTGAAATCAAACATGACTGGTAAATAAAGATATATTAACATCCCTTTTAGCATTCCATGCATGACATTTGTCAAAAAAAACAACTCAATTTTTACCTTAAATTCACCAACTATATTAGTATCATCTTCATCTTCATCTTTCCCCCGACAGAGGGCAAAGGTCGTACAGAAATCTGTGAACCCATTGTATGTTTCTGACTTCTCTAACTCCCCTTTATAGATCTACAAATAATATATAAAGTTAGCTTTATAGATCTAGAAATAATATACAAAGTTAGCTTTATAGATCTACAAATAGTATACAAAGTTAGCTTTATAGATCAACAAATAGTATACAAAGTTTCCATCAAGTTAGCTTTATAGATCTACAAATAATATACAAAGCTAGCTTTATAGATCTACAAATAATATACAAAGTTAGCTTTATAGATCTACAAATAGTATACAAAGTTAGCTTTATAGATCTACAAATAATATACAAAGTTAGCTTTATAGATCTACAAATAGTATACAAAGTTAGCTTTATAGATCTACAAATAGTATACAAAGTTAGCTTTATAGATCTACAAATAATATATATAGTTTCCATCAAGTTAGCTTTATAGATCTACAAATAGTATACAAAGCTAGCTTTATAGATCTACAAATAGTATACAAAGCTAGCTTTATAGATCTACAAATAGTATACAAAGTTAGCTTTATAGATCAACAAATAATATACAAAGTTAGCTTTATAGATCTACAAATAATATATATAGTTTCCATCAAGTTAGCTTTATAGATCAACAAATAATATACAAAGTTAGCTTTATAGATCTACAAATAGTATACAAAGTTAGCTTTATAGATCTACAGATAGTATACAAAGTTAGCTTTATAGATCTACAAATAGTATACAAAGTTAGTTTTATAGATCTACAGATCAGATAACAGATAAGTTATTATTCATTTATTTATTTGACCTGAAACCCAATTGCTAATAAAAGATGTAGCACATGCTCAGTTCAACTTTCCTGTTACACTGTAGAAGACTGTAATGCCACAGGCGTAATAAAAGATGGCTGACACACCTGCAGACAGTGTGGTACTATCAAAATATCTGTCAGAGCTTATTTGACATCAACGCATTCACTTATTGAGTAGCTTGTTCAGATTCTATACACCTACTTACCTTAATCTTATCATAGCCTCTTTCAAGATACTTTTTACACTTTGACGTTTCGCCAATAGATGCGTAAAATTTGGACCACCAATCAATTTCTTCATCGACCAGCTCTTCTTTCTAGAAAACAGAAGTAGGGTGAAAATCGTACATCAGGAACCAAGAAATTTGGTGAGAAAATCTTGAGGAGTTTGATGTTATTATAAGAGATGAAATATACATTTCAAGTTGACTCCTTGACATAAAATATTTTATAGATATTAGTAATTATTGTATTATTTCAATAAACATTAAAACATCCATGATGGCTACATTCAATATTAGTTCTCGATTAATTTCTTTATGGTTGAGATCTGTTAAATTCTTAAACATATATCAAAATTATTTTTTAAAAAATGACAATATCAGAATCCAGAAACCATCACCTAAAAACCATGCAAAAAACAAGCAAAATTCACAATCTTAAGATTTAAATGGAGTAATATCTATAATTTCAGTTATGTTAAAATGAAATTTAAACACCAGCGAAAAGAAACATGGATATTTTTGACAATAATTTTAGAAAGATTTCTTCCAGCTGACGTTTGTAGACATCTGGAGAATTTGAAAAATTATTAGAAAATGTGAATTTTGCTTCAAAACTTAAAATTTAAAACTGGAAAAAATAAAATAATTTGTAATTTAATAAAACTGTTATTTTTGTCTGTATTTAGATGTTGAAACTTGCAGTAGAGTCTGTGATAAATACACCGCGGAATTCAAACATTGGTCAAGGAAAGCAGTATAGAAACAATTGTAATGGAAAATGATTGAATTAATCTGAGTCACAACTTGAATACTTCTTCCAATTTTTTATAATTCCTCATTTCACCTGATGATGACTTGTAAATTGTTGAAAAACACATCCAGCCATGAAGTCAAATTGGGTCTTTCAATCACAGATGGCATCATTCATCCAGAGAGGTCAACAATAGCGCCAATTTGTAGATTCATGAATAGTACTTACACACCAGGTAAAAAAAAGAGCATGCCCTGCCTAGCTGATGCCAAGAAACTATTGATAGGGGAGAATGAAAAAGGATGCGACAAAAATTTAAGATCTTTGTTTATGTATTCAAGGCATTAAATTAAAAAATTCCTACCCAAGCCATTCAGGGTCTTTATTTAAAAAGGGTGCTAGTAAAAACCTTAAAGCTCAACAAATCCCCAAAAATCTTGCAGAACTTCTAAAAGTGCTTGAATTTTATCAAAAGGGTCTCTGGTGCTAATAAAAACCTTATCTAAGTGAAACCTCAATAAAGCCCAGCAAAATTTGGAATAATTTTTCTAAAAGTGCTACAATTCCAAAACTTGAGAAATTTGAAAGAGGGGAGTGCCTAAACACCGAAAATGTCTAGTGCTTTGAAATGAACCTCGTCAATCAGAGCATCTTTCATTTCACCAACTTCCTGTAAGACTGATGTTCCAACGTCCGGCAGATCTAACTGTGGAAACTTCAATTTCTTTTTTATTCCTCCGAAAAGTCCCTTCTTTAAAAATTCGGGTGGAAGCAAGAAAAGATGAAAAATTTTCAATTAAGATACAGTAGGAAGATTGAATGAAATATGCAAATTTATGCAAATGAATATGAAAATGACTAATGAAATGAATTTATGTATGCATACATTTTCTTTTACTGTGAGCTTATTATGATTTCCCTATTAATCTTAAATAAACTTATATCAAAAAGATTTAATTTTCAAATTTATGCAAAAAATCTTAGATGTATGAGTCTGTCTTTCCTTTTAATGTGAGTCTAGAACTAAAAATTTTTGTCCCATATTAATTCCGAATATACATATCAAAAATGTAATTTATGCAAATTCATGCAAAAAGTCAATCGCAAAAATGCGCAAGGTTTTCAGATTATCAAAGACAGGAAAGATATTATTGTCTTATGCTTCATCTGAAATATATTCAAAAATCTGAGGTCATGAGGTCAAGGATTAAAGGTCAAAGGTCAATTAAGTCAAAGATTAAATATTGAATAAAAATCTGAAATAAAGATGACAACACATATATATATCTTAGAAAAGTACGTTGAAATCTGAAAGCTGAAGTTTATCAAGCCACAATAGACTAAACAAAATAACTAATCTTCCATTTCCACATCTAACGGGTCCTTAACCAACCAAAGGAGTCAGATATATACACAGGAGAAATTACTGCTAATCTTGTACTAAAATGTTTGATATTTTGACTCTGATTAATATATTTTTTGTTGGATAAAAAACACTTTGTATGAAAAAAACAACCTCTTGGATTATGGTTGGAATATGTGTTAAGTACAGTATATATGTAAGCGTTCTCCACAAGATATACTACATATATGTAACTATAACAAACTTAGATACGACTTAAAGTCAAATCCAATGTAAAAGAAATATTTGAACATATGTTTAAATAATTCTTGAGACAATATTACATCTTAGTCACTTATCTTAGAAAACTAAAATGAGAATCAAAGTTTCAAACATTGTAGCTACAAGAAATTGACAGAATTTCAAAGTTTGTCTGGTCACCGTGTTTACCTTACTCTTTTTACGTCTAATTTTAATATGAAATTTTTCCGATAATGAAGTTTTATCAGAGAGGGATAGTTTACTCTCTGATATCATTGAGATGTTGTCATACGCTGGGAAATCATCCTTAGGTAGCAAATAATATAAAATATCATATTTTCATTCATGTCATAGTGTTACTAGTAATTTCAATTCAATTCAATTCTTCAATTCTAGAACTTCAACTCTACATATTTTGAAACGACCTTTTAGTTCTAAAATAACTGTTATTATTTTATATGTAACAACTAATCTGATTGGTTAATATCATCGTCGGTAACCAATCAGGGTTCTTCATAAATACCATATTGACATAAACCAATAATAAGTGTTCTTTGTATAATACATTTACGATTATCTCAAAATTATAATAATGACAACAAGCTAACAATCTGATTGGATATTCTGCACTAACATTAACCAATCAATGTTCTTCGTATTTTACGTCTTTTTAACAAGTAATCAATTTGCTAAGATTCATCATGACTAGCTATGAACAAGGTTCTTATCTATCAGTAAAAAATGAAAATTATAATTCCCTGTAAAATTCTATCTAATTTACAAACAAACAAAACTTTCTAAGCTACAATTGGTCAAGGTGATGTATACACATCCAGGAACCTTCAAAACACTAACATGACTAGTCCACTATATTCTTAGGTAGTTTAGGTAGGATAGAACACAATGTTGAAAGGTCAAGAACATATATTGTATAGATTTAATTACTACCTATTCTACCTAAAAATAATAAAGTAGACTACTCCATAAGTTGATGTTGAATATCTTCGCTATCTATATCACATATTCCACCTCAGAATATAGTAGACTATTCATGTTATTGGTTTGAAACATTCTCGCATGTGCATAATTCTATTTGACCTATATTTCTATACAATGGCTTTTCATCTGAAAAAGAAATCTTCAACCAGATGAGAATGAGGCTATACTATACTTTCTGTTTCCATGAAGGCTAATAATCTAATTACGTTGTTTACAAACTAAAACAGGGTTATGTTAGATTTCTTCTTTAATTTAGCCTTAAAGAGACTGTCCCACTTACAAAATGCTTGAGCTATTTGTTTTCAGCAAGACTGGATATACTATTGCAATGTCATATGAATACTTCTTATGAACTCTTCCACACATGCATATTCTTTAGCAAATGGTATACATTATTATTATGTTGGAAGAGTCCAATTAGCAGGTAGGGCTTTTCTTCTTTCTAAACTCACACTTAATCTTTGTGTACATAATCCACTTAAAGAAGATTAAATTTTAAGCTTTAATAATGAAATTGTTAAAGGGACAATCTCTTTAAGCCATTTTAACACCATGCCATTATATATTAGCAATTTTAGTACAAAAATTCATAACACAGCAATATCGTGAAACAGCACCCCGCAATAAACAAATTTCAAGCAATTTCATTGGTGCTAAATTCAACGATATTATGAAAAAGAGGATTCAAAGAATACAAACTGAACACTAAAATGTTACTATAAATAACTTCAAACTAAAAATGGTGATTTCGTGAACATGAATACGTGAAATGCCCACCACAAAATGTGCGAACGATTTTCTTACGTTGTCAACTGTTTTAATTTCTGTGGACGTTAAAGATTCGTAACCATTTCGTTTACGATTTAAACCACTTCGTAATTTTGAGTCGACTTCCATCATAAGATTTGTGACTGCTGTGTCAAGGGAGTCGGATTTCTAAATAAAAATACCACCAAGCAGATGAAACAGTTTTTACTTTTCATGCATGATCAAATTTGAAGAAATAAAAAGAACGTTTTCCACTTCCATTACATTATTTATGAAAAGAATCAATAAATCAATTTAGAATAAAATGATGATAGTTTCATTTGACATTTAATCACTTATGAATATCATGATAAATTTGTGACTGGAAAAATAGATTTTAATGAAAGAACTTAAATGCACATGCATTCTGAATTTAACCTATATATTGAAGTTAAAGAATGCTTAATGCTCATTGTATGCATTTTGTTTTTAATATCATAGGCTATGAAATGTAAGAATTAAATAAATTCCTAACATAGTACAAAGATATCCAAAAGGGCAAATACATAGTCATTCTGAATTTGACCTTAGTCGATGAAAACCAAAAGTCCTCTTTCCTAATATAGTATCAGCCTTTTTTACTAGTAGCACCACATGCATTCTGATCTTACTCTATTTAAGCAATAGTTTAAAATCATTATAATTCTGATTATGGCAAAATTCCCTATTTATGTAATGATATGACTTCTTTTAATAAGGATATATTAATGCACATGCTTTCTGATGTAGACTTCCCATTATCTTAATAATGCATTTCCACAGAGCACATGCATTTGTTTCTGCCTTTAGCTTTTAATCTAGCTAAGATCATGCATTTTGAATCCTCTTATTCCATTTAGTATTGACATAACGTATTGACATAACAAATTGACATTACAACTTGACATTACAACTTGACATTACAGGATGTAAAAAATACAGATTTACAAAAAGCACATGCAAATTGATCACTGTTCCCCTTTCAGAAGATATTCTTGAATCCTCTTTTTAAAGATAGAAATATAGAAATATAGTTTGGTGTTAGTGAAAGATAGAGGATCTAATTCTTAGAAATAATTTATACAACCCACATCTGAGAATCAGTGATTTCAGTGTGTATTAGTCAAATGTTTTTGTAACATCTAAGAAATAGAGCCGTAAGGTGTTAAATGCATAAAAATTACTAAAAATTATTTTGCTTTATATCTCAAACCTCAATAATTCATTTAAAATTTCAAACATTTTTTTTTTTTAATGAAATTTGATATAAATATAAAGCGAAGTTAAGAAATATAGACCAGAATTCCTCTTACCTTGGGTTTTTCTTCTGTTGGGATGTCAACTATATGTTCTGCTCCGTTACCCACAATTCCACCTAAAGATTTCACGAAAATTTCACACATTGTATACAGTAAGGTGCATTTATTGTAATCCAATTTGGCTTTACGACTAAAAGGGCATCTGATTGGTCTATAAGGCTTTAATGCTTCAAGGATTGGCAGACGTGAATTTTAGAATGTATGTGACACTCAAAGTCCAGAAATTTGAATCAGAAGCTTGTGATTTTGTGTCAGTCATTCGTGTGTCAGTCAATCATGTTGTTCATGTGTCAGTCGTTCATATGTCAGTTGTTCATGTCTCAGTTGTTTGTGTGTCAGTCTATCGTGTGTCAGTCGTTTGTGTTTTCCTGTATTTGTATCTAAGATCTCTCTTATTGTACAATGAATACCATATAAGGAATAATAAAGATTTATTATTATTATTATATCATCATTGGGAATATCCTACCTTGAACTTCGCTGTCGTCATCTTGAACTTCGTATAATGGTTCAATTCTAAAATCTTCTAGTGATTTCAGTACATAGTTTCCTACAGTTGGTTTACGACCGAATTGACGATGATCACGAACTCGTATATTAACTGGAGGCATGTATAATTCATCTTTCGGCAACATCTGTAAGATAATTTGAAAAGAAATAAGACATGGGTGTATCAAAACCAGAAAATCAAAGCCATGACAAAACTATTTCCTGTTTTTTGCTTTATATTAAGGCAATTTTAACAAATTGAGACCTATGACAGAAGAAATATATGGGATATGAATAATTATGGAAGTTTCTCCACAATCTTATCAAAGCTGCATACAATATAAATATAGAAACTTTACTGTAACAATTTCACATCCAATAGGTTAAATATAAAACTTCAAATGTCTGACACAATTTGTGAATTAACAACTACAATCTCTTCTGTCCGTAATGTTAACTTACCACATCAAAGAATAACAAGGGTTCATCATAATTAGGGTTTTTCTTGGTATCTTTGATAACTGTAGACTGTAATAGGTTACCTCCACATTCAAACTCGATACTAGGTGAAGATACATTACCAAGCTGGAATTTCTTCATATTTCTTACTCCCCAACATAGAACCTGTAGAAAATAACATATTATCAGGAAACATTATTGGTTGCAATTTGGTAAAAAGAATACTCAGACGACAAGCTCTTTCTGACAAGCTCTTTCTGACAAGCTTTTCATGAAAAATATTGATGTGTCAAATGCCTTTTTAGTGAAATATTAAGAAAAAAAATGACATACCTCTACACCTGTTCTCTGCATGACTGGTCGAATACCGTTAGGGACCAGGTATAGATTTCCTCTCTTAGGGGGTAAAAACGGTAAATCTTTACCCGTCATCTGAAATATATAACATACATTTTATTCAGTTATTTGAATGGTTTTGAGGTTAATTTGAGTCATTAAATACATTATGAAATCAAACCACCTGTTCTTATGAAATTTGTTTAGACCTTTTTTTGGAAGAAGTTTGGAAACACATTAATGAATTGTGTAGTTTTAGATAAATCTCAAATGCGAGTTTAATTAGTTTCAATGCAAACTTAAAAAATCTCAAAATAAACCAGGCCACGTATTCTCGAAACGATCTTAGTGCTGGGATGTCCTAGGTTCTTATCTTCTAACATTGATTCTAGGACATCTTAGCGCTAAGATCGTTTCAAGAATACGCGGCCAGGTAAAAGTCTTCTAAAATGTACTTCCCAAACACTACAGAAGCTTCAAATCGAGCATTGCTACTGGGTTCCTAAAATAGCCATTCTGAAAGTAATTTTGATACTGTCAAAAAGCACCAGTCAGTAATAAGGCACACTTAAAGGGAAAACTCTTCAAAAAAAGATGTGAGAACTTGTATTGGATGGCGGTTTTTACATAAAATCAAAACATCGACAAAGGTTATCTACCCTTTTATAAAGGGAGATAAATAATCAGATACAGTTCGTACATATCAGGCTAATACATAACTACCATGAAATGACGAAGTGTCAAAGTCATGACTCTGAACTGTATCAACCAATCATAAAAACCAACAACAAAAAATCCAAAAACCATGCCAAGAATTGAAGTATTCTTTTAGATCTATAAAATTTCATTTTTCTTTCAGTCAAAATACAAAATTATATTTGAATTCATAAGCATTAAATCATGAAAACTTCTGACACTACAGAATCAAAATTCAACAGAACACAACTTTCAGAAGAATTATGTTAGATCATTGATGGCGAGTGTAGTAGCCAGCAGGGAAAATAAATTCAGATCAGACAATCTATCTACAAACTAACAAATCATGCTGTAAACAGACGTTACCCCAGTCTCCACGGTTATTATTTCATCTTCTGCATCTTTTAACTAAATGATGGGGAGGAAAAAGGAACAGTCAGAAAATAGGACAAGAAAATTAAATACATTAAAAGTAAATGATAGCTGACAGAGGAAAGAATCCAATTGCCATGATTCAAAATGTCTAAAAGGCAACAGAAAACACCTTAACCTAAATGAAATACAACTCCATATATAATGTTTTTCATTATACTATACTACCTAATTGTAAATCGATCCAAGTTGGATTGAAGAACAGCAAAGAAATGAAAAGCGTGAAAAAATGAAAAAAGAATTTTCAGGTGGAATTTAAGATCAATCCTCCCTATAGACTCTCAAAAGTCATAAATTTTCTGAAAGTCAAAAATGGCGGTATCCAGCACCAAGTAAAAGTTAATACAAGAAATCTTACACTTTTATCTCCAGCTTGTGGAACCTAGTAATAATTTTAGATTAAAATTCAGATTCAGTTTCGAGAGAAAGATTGTCACTCTCAGACTCAGCCTTTGTGTGGCCCAAAGCATGAGAATATTAAGAAAATTTGTACAAAGGTCAAAGTTCATTATATTCAGAGCAGCTGTAAGTTAGTAGGTAAAGGAATATTAGATCAAACAATGCTATAACTTTTTAAGGCAATTAGTAAAGTTAATTAATTATATATGCTTGTATTAATATGATTTTTTAGAATCAAAATCTGGCATCTGGTTCTTATACAATATTAGTATTAATCATGTAAAGGATCTTTAGAGTATTTGTAAGAGAACTAAGTGCCAGACATCAATTCTGAAAAATGCTACAACAGATGAAATTAGCCACATTAGTCACTAAAAAAATATTTAATATCTATTTAGGAAAATGATGAATATTCATAGTGATTGAAAACTTACCAAGAAGAGTTCAAAAGCAGCGAGTAATTCTCCTCCTTCTGTATTGAAACGGAATATATCGTACCATTGTAATACGGGAGTTCTAGCATCAGATGGATCCAGTTTTACCATTGGTTGAGCTTTAGTTCTTCCTAAAAACTCTGGTTTACCCTTCAATAGAAACAAAATAAAAAAATAAGCTTGAGCCAGTGGCGGAGCCAAAGGGGGGTCGAGGGAGCATCCGCCCCTCCTTGCATCCCTGAAAGCAAGTTTTTCAGGCAAAAATGTCATAACAAGGTTAAAGATTGGGGCAATCTCAGATATCTTCCCCCCCTCTCGGACGTAAACCTGGCACCGCCTCTGGCTAGAGCTCAAATGCAGAGCTCTTATTTCTTCAAAAATCTTTCCCATAATGAGTGCCAAAAAAAATAAAACTGGATCAAAACCAGTTAGAATTGTATCATGTTTTTCCAATTTTACTCTTTAATTTGTCCAGCCAGCAATAAACAGCACTCAGTTCTTGGTTTTTTCAAGTTCCGTGTCAGCAATTCTTTCATCTTTAATCACTCTACCAATCAAATACAACTCTCTAATGCTGAATAAGCCTGTCCAAAACCCAAACTTAACCGACCAAACCATCCCTAAAGACAACCCACAAGTAATAAAAATAAACTTACGAACGTATCGTGATCGAAGAGTTCAAGAATTATATCAGGCGGTTGAGATTCGATAGATTTGGGGTTTCCGTAAATTTCTATGTCTTCAAATATCAGGGTCTGATCCCACGTGGGACATAAAGATTTCTCAACAGTTTCCGATTTCATACTTCGTGTTAAAAATGACACTTGAACAAATGGATCTGCAAAACAGAAATGAAATGAATGGAGTTTTACATCCTGCACCATGTGGGATAATGAAGACGGTGAAAAACAGAAAACAATAAAATTAAATTTGTTTACCATTATACAGACAAACCCTAATCTTAAAAGGGATATTTGTAAAGAGGTATTTTAAATTTTGTATGTGTATCGGGCAGTGACACTGATAGCATCCATTAGCACCATTCCAATTTTCAATCAGACGTCTGCACTCTGCAGGTCTTGTAATACCACTAAAACTAAGCATTTCATGACATCACCAATGCAAAGGTCCTTAAATATCAATAGCAGCTTTTGCGATAGTAACGTCATAAAACATTTCCTTCTTAAAATTGCTTCTGACTTAACATCAACAGACCCCACAAATCAGAATAAAAACATCATCTTCCCCAACCAATATCTATTTTACCTGATAAACCAGTATCATCAGCAGCCAGTAAACCTCGAGCTTGATATAAATACACTCGTAACTGATATTTGTAACATTCTGAAAAAAAAATAATTAAATAAAACAACAACTCTCGACATTCTGGATTTGAAGAAATAAAGTTCTCTGATTGGATAATAAAACAAATTTTAAATTGATACCAGTGAATGACCAATCAGATGACTGGAACACTAAAAATATCTTAAGTTAAGTTTTCAAGAATAAGGTCCAAGGCACCAAGAGACATGGGTAATTCACCTTATTTAGAGAGTTCACAATCCTAGTCACTTGGTTTTGTGACTGAAATTCAAATAACAGACAAAATGATAGAAGCTTAAAACTTACTGTCAAATGTTAAAAACATTCTAGGTGCTGTTAGGGAGGCATTCTGTTGTTCTTCCTATAATATACAAATATCATTCAGGTCTCAAATTATTCTCAACTATTAAACCACCATGTTATTACCAACTACCACGACGACCAACAACTTACTTTTAGTATAAGGATAAAACCTTGAATTTAGAGTCTTTGATGGTCTAAGCAAATGACAATACCATTGATAATGATCATAGTTTTGTGTCTTCTTACAGCCTTGTGTTCTAATGTATGAAATGGTCTTTAGAACAAAGTAAATTAGTAAAAACTAGGATTGCTGTTGCGCTGAAAGGAATAAGATCTGGACCATACTTACCCCAGACGCCATACTGAAGAAACAAGAAGCACTGGGATTATCTGCCACCATTTTACGATGCCATCTTCTACGTCTGACTAAATCCATAGTTCGTTCTATAGCATGGAACTTCATGTTAAATAGCGGGGCATATTCCCAGCCATCGGCCGCAGCTGCTGCCTGTTTCTCCTGGAGAAAAATAAGATTTGAAATTCAGATTAGAAAAAGCCAGAAAACAACAATTTGAATGATTGCTTTTATATTAGGACATCATGCAGTTGTCAAGGATACTGTCTACCAGACTAAATCTCTATGCAGTGATCTTTTCTGGATTATTTTTCCGCTTATCATTGAGTTGACTGCAACAAGGAGGAAAGATGACACACTCAGTTTATCAGATTTTCAGACTGAGAATAGGGCACACAATCACCATTCATTAATAACCAAACACTAGGCCTATTCCATTTCAGCTTTATAGACATAGTGACTCAATATATGTAGATATTTTATTTTCAATATACAAATCAAAGAGTCTCTCAATAATTGAATATAATATAAGTAGTTCATACCAATGATATCTCCTTTGTGAAATTCAAATTAAAAAATATCAAATAGAATTATTTATGTCATATGAAAACATCGCAACATAGTTTGTGGATAGTGAATAAGCTGATTTCAAGTGCTTCAAAGCAATAGGAAAACAGACGTACATCAGAAAAAGAAAACTGATCCTGTTTGGTAGATCACTATCTGTAATCGAGGACAACCATGACATCTTCCCCCTTGGGAAATTTTTTAAAAATATCACGACGTTTCCCCACCCAAATATTTCTATTTGTCGTACCTGTGCTGCTTTCTTTTTGGTATCCATAGTGAGAGTACGAGATCGTAACCAACGACGACGTCGACAAAGATGATATGTTTTTTCTACTGGACCATATCCTCCTATAGTAGCTTCAACACAATACTCCCAACCTATTGGACAGAATAAAAATATAATAACTAGTCTAATGAGGATAGACAATTCCTTGTGGTGTGCAATGAGAGCAATTTCCACCTGGCAAGGATCTTAAACATGTACAGCCTGTAGCATGTGACTAGATGCCTTTTCCATGCCCATTCCCATAGACAGAATCAAATTAAAAGTGGGGCTTCTTGTTGACTGACTCTACTGATCAAGGTAACAGACGGAACTTTAACTGATAAAGGGGCGGAGTCAGTATCAAATTAGAAATGGTCTTACCCTCTTCATCAACAGCTCGACTCAAATCCACCTGCCAATCATTATCCCATTTCCAACCTTCTGTTAGTTTAATATCATCTCTGCCTGGACATTCATCACCTTTCTATATAGGATAATAAAACATATGATAATACATATTACACCCATACAGATAACAAAATATATCTTATAGTTTTATCTTTCATCTTTCTTTCAAAAAATATTCAATATATCTATCCAAACAATATTTGATTGGCAAGGACCTCTCTTGTCCTCATCAGCACAGACAGTTTTGAAAATGGGGTTAAATTTCCAACAAGGGATTAAAGGCAAAGCAAACAAAATTATTGAATAGGAGCAAATGTTCAAAATCAAGAATAGTCATCAGTGTGAAGACTTTGGTCTCATAACTTATTAATAAGAAATCATCTCATACAGCTTATGTTAAGACATCAAAGAATACTTCAGAGGTTTTTTCAACTTTATTTAAAATAATTTTCCATAACTTACAACATCTGACCAGGGTCGTGAAGCTTGTGCCCAGTTTCCACCTGGGATACCTCGTGATTGACATTCGTAAATATCTTCAATAAATTTCTTATGACCAGCGTCTTTTTCAAATAACATACTGAAATTATAAATACATGTACAGTAAATTGTAGTGTAGTTCCCAGTTTTTTCCCAAATGCAGGGGGCAGGAAGGAGCGTATTTTATTGACCAATTGTGAATGGCTGTCTCTGCAATTGTGTATCAATCACCAGGTCAACCACAAAATTCTGCAGAGTGTTATAAAAATATTTGCCTTCTGTGCCCCTTCATAATCGGGCATAAAAATTTGGAGATTTTAAATGTCGTGATCGAGCAAAAAAATACCCTTCCCTGCCCCCTTGCATTAAAGAGCTTGTCAAACAGTGGGTAGGTAATATAGACAGTGATATGAGACCATTCAAACTTATCTTAAAGTGCAGTCACAAAAACCAGACCAGAGTGAGATGGTTCTCTAATGAGGCAATAAAACAGCTATAATTTTGCAAACAATCTAGAAAAACTGGAGTTGCTCTTACCTCAATTCGGGACTGACATACCATTCACTGTCCCATCTCCACCCTGGTGGTGGTACAAAATTATCTTTTGGTAGAGAAACCTGGAAATAAATAGAGTTTTACATCCTACTACTACTGATTCAGCTGGTGAAATCAAATGGCATTCTTCATCCTTTGTTTTTGTTCCTGATTGGTCAAATATCGGACGTTAGAATTTGAGTAAGAAAGTAAAAATGATTAAGATGAAGTGAGGTATTTTATTCAAAACGAGATAAAATAATTCTACATGGATTTGAATATTCAAACATTTAGCTGATGTGTTTAGGAAGTTACTTACCTTTCCTTGACTGTCAGAGAATTTCGGGCGTGACATGGTTGGTCCTTTAGTCGTCCACGATCCCAATATACTGACCATATTCTCATACTGAAACAGACGGGAATGAAATATGAAAATTTACATGGATAATAGAACTCAAGATAATAGAACAAGCTATATTCACTTTGACTGAAACACTAGAATCATATTAATTCTTCAAAAATAACAACTCACAGTTTCAGCAAAAACAGCCAATTCCCCTTCTTTCTGCATCTTGTGCCACTCTGCTTCCTGATTCTGTAGACCTAACCACAGACGAACTTGTAACAATGTCGGTACCTCCCATTTCTTGTCTTTTTCTAGTTTCAAACCAGGGAACTGAAATAATTTGGTTTATAGAAAATGATGGATGAGTGAACACACAGTGTTGTTTGTAGAGCAGGGTCAGGACAAGACATGGAAAGAATTGCCTGTGAACTTCACTTGATAATTCTGTGGTCACTAATCAGCCTCTATTTCATAATGCATAGAGAAACAACTGTCAATACAACTAATAGAATACCTCAACAATAATAGAAGATTATCATCATTCTTTATTTCTTGTATTAAATATACACACTGAACTAAATTTAAAGTTCCAACTTCATGGACGATGATTTCATGTAAGATGCCACCAGTTCAAAAATAGTCTTACCTTAAGTTGTACAGTCTGTAGTTTACCACACTGTCGACCAATTGTATTAGGATTATTAGAGAATATAACTTCGTTAGCTGGAATACGGAAATACGCTATTCTTTTATCACCACTAATCATCCATATTGATACATCAGGCATACTGTTCTGGGGCTGAAAACAAAATTCAAAATATTAATAATCTTAGACAGCAGGAATAATACATTTGTAAATCAGAAAATTTCTTAAGTGTTATCCATGTATCTTAATTATAAAAATATACCACACCATTATCAGGAATGTGAATTGGCACCACAATCCCAACAACAGAGTGGTCACCTTGTCATACGCAAGAGCTTGTTAAATACAAGACATGGAAAAAATGCCTAAAGTAACCCAAAAGTTTTCACAAAATGGTTGTATTTAATCTGTTCGTTTATAAATGTCCTCCTGCAAAGTAAGAGCTTCCAGATCTCTGGGGTCAAGTATCACTTTTGTTTCCGTAGATTCTGATTTTAATATAAACTGTTTTATTTACCTCCACAGCCAAATTTTTCAACATGGCCATAAAATTCTCGATTTCAGACATTGCTTCGTTAATATCTGTAGCGTTTTCTCGTAGTTTCGCGGCCTGCTCTCCGATTCCGTCCAGTTCACTTCTACGATATTGTGTCGTTAGTTTATCTAATTCATTGGTCTGATGCTGACCTTGGATTGGAGCAGGTAACTGTTTTCTGGAAGCAAAAATTGATTTGTCTTCAGAAGCATATTTCAACCCGGTTTCCCCCTGTCAGTGATGCAGGTAAGAGGGGTTGACATGGAAAAAGCGTCTAGTCGTTCGGATGGGACAATAAACCGAGGCCCATTGTGCTACAGGCTGTGCACGTTAAAGATCCCTCAACAGTTGGAAATCGAAAAAGAGCAGGCTAATGCCGCTGTCCTGGCCAAATTTCCCTCATCGCACCCTGCATGGCATTGCCTGTCTTCATTAGCCCACATGGTGCAGAAAAGTAGGACGTAAAACTCCATTCATTTCATTTCATTTCAGAAGCATATTCTTTTGGATATAAATTTTTATAAAGTATTAAGGTGGGAATGAAGAAAGTATCTTATGATGTTGACCTATAAAGTAGTGGCAGGTGTCACCTGATGATACTTTTCTTTGGGGGCGTCCACTAGTATACAACTTTGTGTCAGAATGCACCAAATCAATTCAATTTTTTCAAATTTTCATGGGAGAACTTTCTCAGACTCGCATTGACAGGCTTTCGACTATGAAACAGTTGCCGCATTTTGAATTCAGCCTCGACAGCTGTCACCCCATTAAGTCAGTCTGCCCCCTGTTTGTACCCCCAGTTTAGGAGGCTGGCGGCGACACTAGTTCTGCTACTTACTTGCAGTCCTGTACGAGTTGATCCAACAAAGAGATCAATAACTGAGCTACTTCTGGTACGGGAAGTTTAGCCTTGATACCAATCTTCACTCTCTCCATGTTAGAATCCTGGAATACATGGTAATACAAGTTATATCTCCTTGGAAACACAGTACACAGGCTACCCAAAGACACAAATGCTTACTAAATAATATAAGGTATAGAATTTCTGTCAGAATTTGGGATTTTCTTTAGAAAATAGAGCATTGAGTTTGTTCAGAAAGACCATCACCATGAGTTTTGACCAAGAGAAATACCGTTGAGAATCAAAGGTGTTATCTTTGTAAAATATAGGAACAATTGGCGAGAGGTTGAGGGCTAGAATGTAATACAACAAGTTGATATATTGATGTTTCTTTTAAGCATCATAAATTAAACTCACCAATGAATCAATAATTCTTAAAATTAAATTCAAAGCTTCCAATCTAAAGCTGATGTCCTCCCAGGAACTGTCCACCACCACACAGGGTTTGGTGCCACCCCAGGGCAGGAAGTAGTAACTGCAACCATCGAAGACAGCGTTGGTAGGCTGAGTTGACGAGGCACATGGTGGTACATTCTCATCTAACTTGTTACCATAGTTACCTGGATAAAAATCAATGTAGTGTTATTTTTTCAAGTTAATGTCTGCAATCAACAACTTTTGTGGTATTCACTTCCAACAAACAAGAAGATCAAAAAATAATAAAAGGATTAAACCAATTTATACTTGATATCGGCCACGCCCAGAAAATAAACCCCAAACCAACAGCCCTGTCTCTTCTGGTAAAGCATTAATATAAAGTCTTACCTATACTGACTTCGAATTCTACCGGAGCATCTATAGAGTTGACCATGGTCGCGTTTAAAAATGCTGCGTGTAGACGATATTTTCTTCTTCTCATAAATTTCTATACACAAAAAATAAATATAGATTTCAGACAACTGATATAATTCTGACCTAAAGTTTCGATAACATGCCATGTCAATTTGACAAGAGTTAACTTTATAATGTCAACAATGTATGACATAAGTTGCTGCTAATGACAGATACTGTATAATTGCGAATATAGTGCTCATGCTTTCTTATCCTTGAGTAAAGTAGTCAAGTAATTTGAAATAAATTCCAACATCAAACTGTATTAGTCTAGCCGTTTTTGATTTCCAACTGTTGAAGGATCTTTATCATGCACAGCCTGTAGCACACAGGGCCTCGGTTAATTGTCCCATCCGAACAACTATCAGTCTCTTTCATCACTGATAGGGGGCTCTAAACAATAGAAAACTTGTCATATACCTGTACACGGAGTATATCATCCTGGTGAATATCATCTATCGGAGATTCTGGTAGTTCACCCAGTTCTGTCTTTAATTCAACTAGAGCTCGACCTCGATAGGCCACACCTTCTCCCTGTAATAACATGTCAATCAATTATTAGAAAATACTTCAGTTATAGGCTAAACCTGATATACATCATATTAAATAAAAAAGGGTTTTACATCCTACAGTTCTGCACCTTAATCAGCTGATGAAGACAGGAAACTGTCCATGTATCTGAAGAAATTTCTGTCATAATTTCACTGACCTAAGTAACTCAGGAAAAATGGCTGACAAATTCACGAGGTAAATATTCAGGTAAATTTTTATTCATTATGTTAAACCTTGAAATCTGAAATTAGAATTTCTTACCTTTCCAAGATTAAGATCATCATATTCATCAGGTAAATCAGAATATTCTCGAGTCGACCCATAAAAATTGATGTAGCAGGGTCCGAACGTTGGTAGATAACCTAAAGTCCGGGATAAATAAAACTTCAAACACAATTCTCCCTGGATACATTACGATTGTTTATTTATGATATATTGGAGACGGGCATTCAAGAAATAGAAAATTAAAGCCAGAAAGAACATTTGCAATAAAGAATGGACTGTAAGCACACCATTATCAAAAATTTCACACCCTGTAGGGAAGCATGCATTTCAGGACAAATTTTTGGATTTGAATCAGAGCTCAGAAATCTGAAACACCATGATGATATCTGAAGATTTTTAAGACATTTGATTGGTTAATATGATGATATAGATCTTACTAACCAATCAAAGTCTTTGCTTCAGTTTTCGTTTTCACTAATATTGTTAGGTTTCAATCACTCATTTACGAAGGATCGATCGGCTAATGCAATGAAATTTTCACTTGTCAACAATTTGGCACATAGTTTGGATGAGTGTTTGTTGGAAACATAAAAACAATGCCTATTGGAGAAATTGGAGATCCATTTTGTGAAGCTCTAGAGCGTACAAAATCCATAAAAACAAATGTTAATCACAGCAATTAGGATCTCACTTTTGTTGAAAATTAAATGAATTGAGTTTCTGCACTAATGGGGCTCTCTTTTTGAGCCTTTTCATGTATAATGTAAACCTTGAATCCATGCTTCCATACATTTTGAATTCATTAGACAAATCACACATGAAATTCACATGAAAAATGATGATGAAAAATGATTTAAAGATGTTAATATTTTAGTTTTTTTAGTTTAAATAATTATTTCAAAAAAATGAAAATCTAAACAAAACTTTCACAAACAAAACCAAAACCACATCTGCACATTTTCATTGGTTGATTTATTGAAAGAGGAGTGAATTCCATTGGTTTATACCCAAATTGATAACATTGATTCTAGGATTTCCTAAGTTCTTATCTTCTAACATTGTTTCTAGGATTTCCAAGGTTCTTATCTTCTAACATTGATTCTAGGATGTCCTAGGTTCTTATCTTCTAACATTGATTCTAGGATGTCCTAGGTTCTTATCTTCTAACATTGATTCTAGGACATCCTAGGTTCTCATCTTCTAACATTGATTCCAGGATATCCTAGCGCTAAGAATACATGGCCAGGTCTGTATTTTCAATTAATTGAAGAATTGACAAGGTGTTCAAATTAATACCATAGAATCCCAAAATCAAGTTTAATCCTCGCCTCTTTCCCTCAACTTTCAAACAATGAAATTGAGCAGAAGTACATATGTGCAGTAATAGGTAGTAAAAATATCAAGATAAAAGCATTAGATAGGCACAGCGTACAGATATCAGAAAGATATTTTCTAGTTTATGATTCCATATGAAATAATTTATAAAATTTGAGATCATTCTGCAATCAAGGTGAGTCCAGCTACTCCTCTTGTATATTTTTAAGATAAAAACCAGCTCAAGCAAAACAATGTTCTCAGCCAAAAATATCCTTCAAAGTATGAAAAAATTCAGAGCAATATTGTATAGCAGGCTCATCTAAAGAGAAGTACCATCAAATATCAAACCCAGAATGTATGAGATATAATTTGCGAAGTTTCTTTTAATAAGACAAGAGTAGCTGGTCCACCTGTCAAGATCATTCCAAGCAACTGTAAATCCCAGCAATACAAATATTATAAATAATAGGACCTACTGTTATCTGTATATAGAAACACAAGAGAAGATAATTATTATAAAAAGCAGAACACAGTTAATTAATTTCTATACTGGCAAGCAGAACGCACAACATACTGTTCAAAATACCTGCAGATGCTTTTAACAAAAATATGAAAAAAAAGAAAAAAAATTCTACTAACTACTTAAGAACATAAAAATACTAATTTTGGCAAAGTCTAACTACAGTTCTAATACTAAAGTAGGTCATAGAGAGAATTATGCACATGCTAAGACAAACGAGAACAGTCTACTTTTTTAGAGGTAATACAGGTATGACAAATTTAGAACTGAGATGGGCATTCCACTTATTCTTTTTATGACAGAATAAAACATGCTCGTTATTTTTTTAGGAATGCTGTTTCATTTCATTTCTTTTAAGGCATTTTGAGGAAATAAATCAAAAGGACAATATTGACTGCTCTCGTATAGATTCTAATAATATCACAGACGTGCATAAATACTCAGACCCTTGGTGCGTCAAATTCTACCCACAGATCCCCGGAATTAAGGAAATTTGCGATACATGTAGTATATAGACCCCCACCCGTACAACATTAAATATTAACATAAAAAAACCCCGCTTCCTTGAATATAATATTACCCTCGTCATTTTCTAAGCAAAAATTGAAAAATAAAATGTTAGTTTACGTTGCAAAATACGTTTTAAGCAGCAGCGTTGAAAATGTTTAACATTTAAATTTTAATCAAACCTCAAAATAAAGAAATGTCGAGCTTAATTCTAAGGTTCTTCGTTTCCTTAAGTTCTTGTTTATGACAGTGGATATAAGAGTCAAGTACTATTTAGTTACATTAATACTATAATTCATGATTTGATGGAATATTATTTTAACAAGTCTGATTATCATCAAATACTGTCAATACTGTCAACTGAAATACCAGCAAGGGAACAATAGGTCACAAATAAGGAACAAATTTTGCAGTAAAGAACAGTGGCATGGTCTGTACAGATTTGGACAGTTTCGTTATCCGATTTACAGAAATTTTGTAGCAACTATGAATTTTCAACTTCACCCCTAATCACCAAACGACACCCTGTATTTTTATACTTAGTTTGACAACTGGACAAGACATTCCCCCACCCCTTTTAGAGCCACATATATATTCTATAGCTGTCATGTTAAGTTATTTCTCTATAGAATTAAGCCCGACATTATCTTTTCAAATTTTATCGTTAATAAAAAAGTTATGAAAAGTTAAAAAGTAAAGAAAAAGACAATCACCGGTGTCGCCACTTGAAGATATTAGTGAAATTGGTAGTAAAAATGTTCCGATTGTATCATCTTCGCTCAGTCGATCCCTGTAGATTTAAAATATCATGTGATATATACCAACCAATCACCAAGTTTGTTAGATTTAACGTCATCAACAGATCTCTTTTACAGTCATGTGTTCTGTTTATCAAACAGTTTTGAAGCTTTTCGTTGTTTTGAACAAAACGACTCTTGTTATATAAAAGGTTACTTATGGGAAGACAAAATATTCGTCCAACGGTTTTATCAATGTGGATAGTTGAATGCAGGGCAGTTGTTTTTGATTTCTATGAAGGAATAATGCACAATTTTACATAATTTCATCAAAATGGTAAACACTTTCATAGTTGATTCCCCTTTTCTGTATTCTTGCACGTGTACCTCATGTCGGATTTCTACATTGAAAAAATTTATCCCTATGAGCTGGTAGAGGCAATATTTAGAAGATTACATCACTTTAAGAGAGATCTGTTTATGAATTATCTTTACGTATAAAATATTCAATATTTGTAAATTTCGTCTTCCCTTCGAAGGTAGCTAGTAAACTTGGGCTGTTTGATTTCACACGGGTAACGTCTTTGTTATTTAACCATGCAGACTACAAGCCAGGCTTCCTAGTCATCTAACAGCCAACTATCGTCACAAATTGACTTTCATGACAACAACCATCTTGTGAGCCAAATTCTTACTGCTTTTTGAAAACTGAAAAATCACGGACATTTTTGCTAGCTGGAGAGATAGTATCATATTTTTTATTTTGAGGAAATGCACGCAACAAAATTACGTTTGACGTCTTATTTTTTCTTAATTTAATTTGATGATAAACGCTTCTAGCTAGGCAAATGATTTTTCAGTCCAAATAACAGCAGTATGAATTTAGCTTATCATAATAAAAATATTGAACAATGTCGTGTAGCTATTTTCTGAAAAACAATCATGCAAACAATTCTAACAACAAACATGCTGTTAATCTACTACCAATATATAATAATACCACAATACAATCTTATATTTTCTAAAAACACCGATTCAGAAAAAAACTGAAGGAAAATCAGGAAATCTATCAAGGCAAAGTCATTTAAAAAGCTGATATTCTGTTTCTCATAAAGAAAATCACCATGATCTGATTAACCGACAAATCTGTAAGGACAGGTTTTAAATCATAAAGATGACCCATCTGGAGAATCTTTAATTTTTGACAGAAAAAGAAATTTAACCAGTTTTAAAATATATCTATATAAAAACTGTTGGTTGTCTCTCAATATTTCTGAATCTCTATTTTTAGCAACCATCTTTATAAGCTCAGTACACATCTACAAAAAATAATATTTCAACCCAAAATCTTCCCTTCATATTTTTAATCTTGTTTTAGAAATCTTATTTAGATCGTGAAGAGCAGAATACAATACACAAAGTTTCTACAATTTACATTGCTATCATGAGAATATAGTCTGTAATAAAGGACATTTTTTGTAGTGTGTATTAGGCTTAATTTATAAAAAAAAAAAGCAACAATCATCATCCAGCCACTACTCTGTAAAAAAACAAACTTTATTAATACCATAACCCCAGTAGGTTGTTTAATATAGAACAGAGAGCATTCCTGATAGACAGATGGTAGAAATAAAGAAATGATTGAATAAATGAATGAATGAATGAATGAAAATTGGCTATATATCTGTTCGGAAAATGGTACTAATAGATGGATTGAAAGAAAAGAATGAATGAATGAATGAAATCAGAAGTATATATAACTTAAGAGCCTATATACATATAATATGATTGGCATAGAAAGAAAGAAAAAGAATGAATGAATGAATAAGGGAGATATATTTTTTTGAATTAAGGGTAATAAATAGAAAGGATTAATAATGTCTATGGGATATAGATCGTGATAATTGTTCTGAATATTGTTGACTACTGTTATTCAGAATCTCATTAGTAATTTTCAAAATTATATTTTTAATTTTTTAATTTAACATAGTCTGTCCATTTAATATACATATACTTGTGTATTTGTTAAACAGTTTATCTATCGAGTTATTGTGTATTTTTTTTTTTTCATTCATGATATTGTCCCCATGGACTGAATGTTAGACAGGACCATGTCTTGTGTATTGAGTCTAATTCTGACCGATGTAAAATAAAGAGTTTATGTTTGTCCCCATGGACTGAATGTTAGACAGGACCATGTCTTGTATATTGAGTCTAATTCTGACTCATGTCAAATTAAGAGTTTATTATTATTATTATTATTAAAAAGTTTGTATAAACTGTTCTACTCATCCAACAGATTCCTTTGGACTCAATCTTTTTAAAAATCAAAGTTTCAGCAATAACATTATTTGGCAACTAAATTTGCCAGAAATTTTCTCAAGATTATCAGAACTATGTCTAAACTCTTATTAAAATTCAAATAAAAATATCATTAAATTTTGATTTACAAATAGGATGACATTTCCATCAAATTTTGGGATTAAATTCGACATTTTGAGTCAACAATATTCAGAAAGTAAAGAAACAAGAATCAACAAACCAGTGGTGCCAAAAGCTGATATTTTGGGTAAATCAAGATAATAAGATCCAGTTGTATCATCATCATTAACTCTATCCCTATAGTAACCAAAATAATCGGCAAATTTAACGTAAATATAGACACAAAACTCAAACAATTTACAGAGTGAATTAAAATATAATGTACTGAATATAAAACATGTGAGAATTGAAATATATTGTGCGTGGAAAACAACTTAGTATCACGAGGATCCTGTCTTGCAGCTGATCCATGGCTGAGTCTGTTGCTAATGATTTTATAACAATAACAGTTTAGGTTCACGAGGATCCTATCTTGCAGCTGATCCATGGCTGAGCCTGTTGCTAATGATTTTATAACAGTAACAGTTTAGGTTCACGAGGGTCCTGTCTTGCAGCTGATCCATGTCTGAGCCTGTTGCTAATGATTTTATAACAATAACAGTTTAGGATCACGAGGATCCTTTCTACCAGCTGGTCCCTGGTCAAACCTCTTGGTATTGACATACTAATAGAGAATATTATTTTGTTTTAAGATAGAATAAGCAGTAATTGACTCAATATATTCTACATATTCTCAATATATTGGTACATTCCTGCACATGCATGAATATCATTGACCTACATTACGAGATTTAAAAACTTCCATGTTTCTCACATGTTTTATATTAAAACAAAAACAGAATAAGGCCTAGATAGAGATAATTGTACACATCTAGATGCAATTCAAAATATAAACACGAGCAGTTCACTTTATTTTGAGGTAGTTTAAGTAGAAATGAACACATTTCAAGTCTAATTCATACAGTTTCAATCACTATCTATTCTACCTTGAAATAAAATAGACCGGTCAGGTTTTATATTTTGACTTGGACCTGAATGTATATAAAAATCTTTGCTTGAAAATAATAATACACCATTAAACCAGTGCTGAGGTCATCATTCAACCTTGAACCAATAATAAAATGAAACTGTGAAGGTCAAGGACACCCAGTGGTGGCGCCAGCGTCTCAAGACTGGGAGTACAAATAGTTGGTCCGACTTTAATGGGGGACAAGTTTCGGGGCTAGGCTAAGATTTAAATTAGATTGTCTGAGGCTTCTTCCCCAAGAAATGAACTCGGGGGTACAAACCATATTTTGCCACCACTCAGGACACCAGTAAGTCAGGTCAAGGTGAAGGTCAATGATATATATATATATATAGCCTACACCTTTACATTCAATAAATACAGATTCCACCTCAATAGTAAAGTATGAGCGATCAAGAAAAAGTGTTGTTGATTTGTATCTTCATCATCTAGCACCTAAAAATTCAAAACTTTTATTAATTAATTAAATTTTAATTAAGATGTCTACTCACCAATCTTTGATCATAAATTTAATTCTTTCACACATTGATGGAAACTGAAAACCAACCAAAAAATAATGTTACGATAGCATTAGATACCAGGACCGTTAATTTGTACGTTAATTGCAAAAAAAACATTATTTTTGAAGTCGTCAAATCGTTAATTCATAATGTTTACGCTCATACGGTAATCTACAATATTTTGAGTAACACAGAACAGGTCCTGATTGAAACCTAAAATGAGTTTAATACAGACAGTTGCAGTGTGCAATGAGGGAAACTGGGCTTAATGAACATATCTAAGTAATAATTACCTGAAGTCCCAAACGTAATTCTTGATTCCATTCTGGATGATCTGAACAATACATTATTTTAGATTGTAGCTGAAAATAGACCAAAATATATACTTAATCTTAATGTGTAATTAATGGGGAAAAATAAAAATATATCTGAAAACCATGTCCTTGAATAAATTCTACGTTTGCTCAATGCAGTACCCTTAACCTTTTATACAGATTGTCGTCTGCTAGGCCATTAGATGCAGAGGGTTTGAAAGAAAAATTCTATTATATTGGAACACAAGGCATCACACAAAACAGAATAGTTTATAAATCAAGCCTTCCGAGAGTTGAATTAATTCTAAAACAATATATTTACATCTTTTCCAGCAAAGGAGAAGACAAAATAAGGATCAACTAATTCTTTCTGTTCTTCACCACCAAATATTTTCTTTACTCCTTCCATAAATGCAGAGTCCACTAAAATTACACAAAAGAGTTCATTAATACCAGAGCTACTGTAGAGATAGTCAACCAAAAACCAGTTGTATTTTTATGAATCAAAAGTTTTGAGAGTAGGGGCAAGAGAATTGTCAATGAGAGACAAACAGTTGTGATCTGTGGAATACTTGAAATTATGGTGTCTGCATTATGCCAACCATGGCTGAGGTTATTTCAAGATTAACTTGAGTGTAAGAATTGGTGTGCATTATAATCGCAATTATACTGTATATAACCATGTGTCAAAATATTACAATATACTGGCATTGATCTTTAACACAAATTATCCTGAATAGAGATGTTTATCCAAAACATGCTTTGGAAGCAATATAATAACCTAATACCAATGAAAATAATATCCACTGCTATCCTGATGAAAGCTGCTTATCCAAAACATGCTTTGAAAGCAATACAATAACCCAATGCCACAGAAATATCTAAAATGTCTGACTTACTTCTAGGTATATCCTCGGCTCTGTATAATCTGAGAGTAAAGGTGGCAGGACGCAGTTGAACTCCAGCAGGTCGTAATAAATTACTGAAATATAATAACAGTTTTAATATCACTTGATCTCCGTCTGCTTCTGAGTTTGTGAACTCATACTAAAAACCAGACTATTGATGCTGTACATAATTATAAGGCATTGAAAGCTCCATTCCTTGAAGTTCTTTTTCCTTTAAAATCAAAATCATGATGTGCTTCCATAATTAATAAGTAAGAGTAAAAATTAAAAAAATACTTTCAGAATTTCCAGATGCCTACCTTTCTATATCTTCAGAATCATCCTGATTGTCTGTTTTCATACTCTGTAATAGTAAAAAGACAATTAATGATACTTGAATTAATAAACAACTTGGATTAAGTGATACATCATCAAATCCAATTCTGATCATTAATTCTCTTCAGCTGATTCTATTATTAATGTTTGGCCTAATTTAAAAAAAGGAGGAAATAGGGAGAGAATACATGCAGATTTGACACAAGAACCCAATTCTTGAGTCAGTCACTAAAAGCAAAGATCCACGGAATCAAATAAAGCTGACAAAAATATATATCCATTTGACATAGGTAATAAATTCTGAATTTTGTTAATAATAGAAAATTCTATCCAACTTACAGGCGCCTCGTCCCCGGGTCCGAGAACCACGGCAGACATTTTAAGGTAACCTTTGGCCCCTGACATTGTGTCATCAGGGTCACTAAGTAGCAGCCATTTGTTGAGTAACGCATGTTGATTTTCATCATAAACTAATCCTACATCACACTGAAACAGACGGGGAAATCAAAATGACGGTAAAGATATCCTTACCCTAAACAAATTCTACCAAGAGAGCAACATTAACCTAATCTTTATTGACTTTCAACTGTCTAAAGTCATTGTGCAAGGACAGTGGTATTTTCCTACTCTTTTTCGATTTCCAACTACTAACTATCGATTATCTTTATCTTGGATATCCTATAGCACTAATGAGCTCAGACGATTTTTTCATGTCAGTCATTCCGACCTACATCAATGACAGTAGGAAACAAAGTTGGAAAATTTGACAGTATTTTCTTGACATATGTTCTAATTGAATCCCAGACCTCCACCACAGCTAGTACCAATGAGAAACAAGTTGACAAGGGGTATTTCATTTATAAAATGATGTAGAAAAAAAACCAAAAATAAAATGTCAGTTAAAATTCTCACCTTAAACGAACCTATTAAAGCATCAGAACGTAATTTACGAGAGTTAAACACCTGGAACAAAAATATTAAAAATCATAAATATTAGAAATTCATAACATTGAACATACATTGGCTGATAATATTATTTTTCAGCTATCTGTATCCCTTTCTAGATTATTAATTTAACAATGGGTTTGTCTACAGTTAGATTAAAACAAACAATTCAAAAAACACAGCTCAAAAAACTATTTGGAGTTTTAAGCCTTAATTTGGATAACAATATGGCTCAAAGAATTTCTGATGACAAATTGAAATATTTGTGACAATATCTAGAATCAAGTTCAGAATCAAGTTCACCAAGTCCTTTCTGAATATATATTGTGTATAAAACTGTTCTGATTATAAAATTCTAAATGGAAGTTCTATGTGAAATATTTGCGTTAATTTGCTCTCTTACCTTAAATTCTATGATCTCATCGAATAATTCGGCAGGAGAGGAGTGGAAATTGAAGAAAAATGATTCGTTAAAACATGGACTGTTCGTTGATTTTTTAACACGCGTTTGTTTCATTTGATTAAAACATGTGACCCTTGTAACTGGTTGAATATTGGCACCCTGAAGTTGCCGAGCTTCTATCACTTTTACCCGAATCTGAAAAGAGAGGGAGAAGTACATTAAAATTTTGCACACCCACGAGCCTCATCAATGAACACTAGAAGCAAATACATTACACTGAAACACTTAGCTAGGCCCAAAATTTATATTGGAGATATATACCCCAAAATGGTCCAAAATTAAGAATTTTGCTTGAATTTGTTTTACTGCTATCCCATAAAACATTGAATGGAGATATACAGTTATTCCTGCCCCACCCACATCTCGGTCACCTTATGAACACTACCAAGCAGAGGATCAGGGGCAAATATAAAGAAGCAATTGTTACCCTGTAATATCCTGCGGCAAGGAAAGGGCAGGGTGGGGCGGAGAAAAGAAGGGGAGAATTGTTGGCTTTGAATATTTAATTTTCAAATAATTTTGTGTGTATTGGAAACATTTCTAACTGGAAGGCCAAAAGACAGAAAAATAAAAGAATGGGCACGAACGATATTACTCTTAATATAAAATAAAACACATTGCAGGTTTATTGCTTCTATTCAAAAATAATCAATAACAAGTAAGTAATATAAAGGTATATTTCAAACTGTATTCTTCTAGAATATCATAAAAAATAATCTTGATTGTATACAGTTGTTATATAAAATATACCAGGTGTTACAGACTATAGGCCTACTATTCACAAATTAAGATCATTAAACTAATGTATTGAAAATTTCATATAATAGTTTAATATAGGTGGGAGAAATGAAATGAAATGAAATGGTTTTCAGTCCTGCTATTCTAAACCAGTTTGAGTTAATGAAGACTTACAAACCACTTGTTGTGGGCAATTAGGAAATTTTACCAGGACTGCTGTATGTCCCCGTACTTTGTCTTGACTTTGCAACTGTTGAGAGATCTTTAAGATGACCAATCTGTTGGAACTCAGTTTATTGTCAAATTTGAAAGACAAGATTTTACCATGTCAGCCCTTCCGATTTCAACCCTTATCAGTGGGGAACAGGATCGATAACTTTGATCAACTTAAGTCTACTGAAGGAATTGAATGCCCAGGCAGAATTTTGGATTTCTAGGTTAAACACGAACGACTTACATCACTGACAGGGGAAACCAGACTGAAAAAACTTGCAGGTATTATTTGGACTGATTCTGGATTCTTTGTATAGCAGAATCACACCTCAACTCCTGACAAAGCAGAACTGTTTTTTGTAAACTTTAAATTTTCCAAGCAACCCACCTGTAAATCTATTGGTCTATGTTGATCCAGAGAATCTCGATTTCGCGTGAATCGACTGAATGCTTTAATCGTCTTGGCAACATTTTCATCATCTGAGCCTCTTTCTGAGGATGTGTCCGATTTTGCATCCTTCACAGACCCAGCAGGGATGGCTCCCTCTATCTCCTTGCCAGGCGTTAATTTTCCAAACATTTTAAAGTTTATTTCTGGTCCTCAAATAAGTTGACATGATGTTAAATAGTTTTCAGGAATTCTATGTAAAATATCGCTATTAAACATCCAATGAACGGACATCAACTTGCTTTCAATAAAATAGACTAAAATTGGTCAGCAGATATCAGCAAGCAGTGATTTTATAATTCTATTTGTGTAATATAACTACACTTGAAACAGTCACAGAAGAAACACAAATTCACTTTTTGAGGCTCTAGATCCAATATATATTTCAAAATTTATATATAATCCAAATTAAAGAGATCTTATATCCGTATTGATTAGAGTTAACACAATTTTTATTTGTTCAATGCTGGTGGTTCATACAGTCATACTGAAATAATTTTCTAGCTTCAGATAACCGGATTGTTAATGCAAAGCTATTGATATCCCACAATCCTTGAGATTAAAGGTAGGCATATAACAGCGTACTGTATCATAACCTGACAACTACTGATATACTGGTACTAAATATATAACTTCTCAATTGTTCCCTAGAATTACTTCTGATAATCATTGATAATTACCATACAAACTTAACTTTGCCTTCTGATAATTCAATATATACAGGTCCTAAAACATATTTAAATATTTCGTGCTTGAAAATATGAACTATTCAGAACTTTTAAGGAACCATTCAAAAACTATACAGAATTTTGCAGAAACTATCCAAACTCTACCCAACAGCTATTCAGAAACTATCCAAACTCTACCCAACAGCTATTCGGAAACTATCCAAACTCTACCCAACAGCTATTCAGAAACTATCCATAAGATAATCAGAAACTATCCAGAAGCTATTCTAAAACTATCCAACAACTATACAAAAACTATACAGAAGAATTCATAAACTATGCACAAGCCATTCAGAAATATTACCAAACCTATGAATAAACCACACCAACAACAAGATGAATTCCTATAAACTGTGAATAAATAAAACAATTGAAACAATATGAAATAGAATATATTCAATATATTATATATCACACCTGGTGTTCAACTTGTTATAGCTTTCTGTATATTATCAACATAAACATTCACAGAGTAGTACATTATAATAAAATTTAGTCAAATTGTTCAACGTTGGAGATCTAAAATTTCTAAATATCTTCGGACTCCCTTTATCTTGCCATCAAGGCATATATTCACCCAGTAAAGTTAATTATGCTTGAAAATATTCCAAAAAATAAACATGAAGGTCTAAATTAATTTAAGCTAGAATAATTATTCATTGATATTATAAAAACCAAACATATATTGTGTTCATTACTTCTTGAAGGTAGACTGGTCGTGCTTCTGTTTCTATGTTTATCCACAGATAATCACAAATATCTTATCCCAACTAAAACATGGTTGATTTTGGATAACTTTACATTTAAACAGACTTCATTTACCAACAGTAACAGAATCATAATCTATTTAAATTCTAAAGAAATCACCCCAAATAAGATACAAACCAGCAGCTTAATTATGATCAAATAAAAAACACAAATAAATATATTTCAAAACTTTCATTGAAATATTTTATTGGAAATAATTATTATGATGATTATTAAGTTCACAGATCATCAGTGATCTCTGTAGCAATTTAAAACAATATATCGTCCAACTAATTAATATATAATCAATATTATTTCAATCTGGTTCTAATTAATAGTAATTTATGTTAATTTATGTTAATTTATTCACATCTAATAACTTTTATAACAAGCACAACATAGACAAAGTATCGGCTCAAAGATTGCTGATTTGGCTCAACTTTTCCAAACATGAGAGTTAAGGCATCTAGAACTTGCAGAAATGGAAAGGCCCTACCAAATATCAAGAATCCAAGTATTAATTTTAATTATAGCTATTTTACTTCAATAAGATTTTTCACTCAAACATATGTAATCGAAATGTATTTTAATTTTTAAATATCTGAAGGCATCATCTCCAAGAATTAGCCACCATAGTAAGTTATTAAGTTATTTTAAGTAAGTTATATATCTAATATAAATCCAATATAACTCTCTAATAAACATCATTGATTTCTTTACAAATTGTAAAAAAATACTTTATTTTGATAAATATCTAATAAACAAAGGAATTCCAGATGGTAAATAAAAAACATAACTAAACAACTATACATCACAAAGGACATTGAACTATTTTCCTCGTGCCATTTTGGACCTCGACAATCTTTCATGATTTCCTTATAAGAGGCACATTAGCGCAACAAATCTGGCCCTACATAGTTCCTCCAACGCGATATTCGGCTGGGATATGATAACTGCGTTTAGGATGGGACATATGACAAGTCACTATTTTTTGAAAAATTTCACCATATATATTGAAAATTACAACTTAATATTACAAAGACCAGAACAAATGCTGATTTCTTTTAGTATAACTATTGGAACACATTTTTCACAAATTTATTAAAACTCCTAGAAATGTTACCAGTCCTCCCAAATATCCATACAGATACAGCTCCTCTAATCCAAAATATAATACAGAAATATCAAAATCCACCCACGGGAAGTGAGATATTTGTAGAGAGAATGTAATAAATAATATGTTGAACAATAAAATGAGATGTATATTAGAATACCGACTGATTGGAGAGTCACATTGCTATGGTTATTGGGAACTCTAATAAATAAATGTAATGAATATACCCAATATTGGGTAGGAGAAGCCCTGATATAATCACTTGGGGGTACCGTAAAAGACTACAGGTCTTGGGGTATTGTAGTAGGTAGGGGAGTAGGTAGGGGTCTTGTAGTAGGTAGGGGTCTTGTAGTAGGTAGGGGAGTAGGTAGGGGTCTTGTAGTAGGTAGGGGTCTTGTAGTAGGTAGGGGTCTTGTAGTAGGTAGGTGTCTTGTAGTAGGTAGGGGTCTTGGGAGTAGGTAGGGGTCTTGTAGTAGGTAGGGGTCTTGTAGTAGGTAGGGGTCTTGTAGTAGATAGGGGTTTTGTAGTAGGTAGGGGTCTTGTAGTAGGTAGGGGTCTTGGTAGTAACAAACACCACTGTGGGTATACCTAAGAAGACTACAGAACAACTTTGGAACTATATCTAAGAAATTCTTTGTTAATATTGAAGCATTTTTAATTTATTTATGTAACTTTTGATGCTATTGGATTAAATTTTCACAGAACATAATCAAGAGAAAAATCTTGTCGGATCATTGATGGAAATTGTAGTTATCTGCAGTAAAAACAGGAAACAAAACATCCAGATCTATCTTGTAATCATACAGTGTTTCAGTATCATTAATTAAAGTTCCAAATGACACAGTGATAGTGGAACAGCTCAGTCAGCAGCGAGTTGGATTGTTGTCTGTTAAGGCAATAAAGTTCTGTGGGTTTGAATACTTCTCAAGGGAAGAAAGATTCTGATGCTACAGCCAGTGCTTCTGTTTCAGAACTCAACCCCAATTCAAAGTTTATCAATTTCTAATTGTTTGAGAGGAGTTTTGATTAACATTGTAGTAAAGTTCAGAATGTATTGTATGACCATATATAGTCAGGGCACCTGTTACATAGTTCTGTTATCAATAAAATATAATAATTATTAAATAGTCAATATTCTACACCATAGCTTGGTCATAGTGATGGCATGACAACAGAGCTGACGACATGACAACATAGCAGAAGACATGACAACAGAGCTGACGACATGACAACAGAGCTGACGACATTAAGGCAAAAGAGGCTTTTATGGCAGCAAACCTGGCAACATGAGGACAAAATTGTCACAATCATAAAAAAACTTGACGACATGGTGGCAAAAGTGTCAATATAACAAACAAACACATGACATGACATCAAATCTGATATCATAGGTGAAATAGTACAGGTTACGCTGACATAAACGATGATTTGGACATGAATTATTACTTTGTATTTCTAGAGGGAAATAGAACTTGCATGTTATTAACACCATCACACATCTTGAAGAACTGGATATCATTTGACAGGCATAAAAAGAAACATCCCTTATTTACTTATGAGCTCTTCCAATTACACATAGTTTTTAATAGACAGTATGCACGTGTGAATGGTTCAATAGGAAAATGGGGGTGTTAAATATTGACAAATTATCAGCTACTGATAACAGTAATCAATTGATTGCTCACAGAATCCAAATATAGGTCAATGACCAAATTAAAGTTTTGCTAGACAAGTACAACATGAGCAGAGCAGCTGACAGTCACTGAGAGCAGCTGACAGTCACTAAGAGCAGCAGATAGCAACTGAGAGCAAAAGATAGCAACTGAGAGCAGCTGATAGTCACCGAAAGCAGCTTATAGTCACCGAGAGCAGCAGATAGCAACTGAGAGCAGCGGAAGGTCACTGAGAGCAGCAGATAGCAACTGAGAGCAGCGGAAGGTCACTGAGAGCAGCAGATAGCAACTGAGAGCAGCGGAAGGTCACTGAGAGCAGCAGAAGGTCACTGAGAGCAGCTAATATAAATTAATTTCAAAAGAAAGCAACTGATGGTGAAAGATAGAGTTTTTCAGTCGTGAGACAGCTTGTGTGACCCTTGCCCAGCTCCCGAATGTAACAATTAGTACTACAAATGCGTGGATTCATTTCTGAACAAATACGACCACAATGAAATGAAACAAACAAACACAGCCTGACAATAACAGACTGAATAAAAAATAACAGAAATAGAAATTAGGTCAAATTTAAAATGAAGAAATTGATTAATTTTGAAACATCTGTCGCCAGAGTATGTTGAATTGTTATATTTCCAGTTTTAATATTCAATATAAGTTTGTATTGAACCGAACATAAATCTTTATAAACGGTAGGCGTTGCCAGATCAATATCAACCTGTATTACGTCAAAATACTTTCAGTGAGCAGAGAAAACTGAATAATAAATTTAAAAACAGACCACTAAACAAAACCAGAATATATTTGGAAAAAATGGCATATTTCCCTAGGAAAAGGACTCAGAATTCATGAATTTCCAGACAAATTAAAATGCAAACTGAATAACAAATTAGAAAAACCGTTGAAGCAACACAGTTAAAACAAATATGGGGAAACAACAACATATTTTCGTTCACAAAAGAACTCAGAATTCATGTAGTTCTAGACAAATTGAAGAGCAAACTGAAAAACAGTCAAAGCAACAAAACCAGAACAAATATTGGAAACCATTTGAAAATTTTGGCAGTATTAGAAATATTAGTATTAGATCCATGTAGATCTTCACAAACTGTAGAGCACACTTAATACCAAATTGGAAGAACAGACGACAAAACAAAACAAGACTCAATATGGGAGAAGAAATGTTATATTTTGGTTCATGTAGGAACTCATCCAGTTCTCGACAAATTGCACAGAAATTTAAATAACACTTTTAAAACAACGATGCAACGAAACCATGACAAACATGGGAGAAAGAAATATATTTATAAGAGGTCTGGATCCATTTAATCTCAGACAGATCAAAGAGCAAATGAAAACAGTTGCTATAAGATATATATTTTGCCCAATAACAAGAAAAGATAACTGAATACAATTATAACCTGGGATGTATTCTCCCAAATTTTAGAGATTGAACAATCAGCAGACTAAAACACTAAAACCATCTTGAGTTCAGATTTCAAGAATGGGCGCGTGCACTCAGGTCGTCCAATAAATCCAATGATTCATCAGATTCGACCAGATATCCTTTAAGATTCATTTAAGTTGTCGAACATCCCGTTAGTACTCAGTCAGCAGTTACAAATAGTTACAAATTCAACCAAAGTTTGATTTGACAATTTTGGGCAAAAAAAACCCATTCCTTATGCATTAGCACCTGACTGAAATCGCTGCTGCCCAAAACAATGAGCTCATCTCCAGCTCTTGACTAGTAATTTCAAGGCTCATTAAGAACGCTTATCTGAAAATGGACCGTATCTTTCAGAAATCCGGAAGAAGTACCATTATTATAAAGATGAGGATAACTAGCATCCTAATGAAGGGAGATAACACTATTTATCATTCATCAACTATATTTTCAAATCAATAGAGCCAACATCACTAACATCTCTATTAAGGTTATAAATTTATGACATTATTTTGTGGGTCTGCAGTCACTCCCAGACAAAAATTAAAAAGTTAAACTAACCTGAAAATCCTGAGGTTTATTAGATAAAGTTTTTCTCATTTTTCTTTTTCCCATTTTCTTTTTCTTTTTCTTGATGATGCCACCCCCACTGGCATCTGGCTGGTCCCCACCAGCATCAATTTCATCATCTTCTTCCTCATCTTCTTCATCAGGTTGGTCAACAACTTGACCTGAAACGAAATGAAACAGAATGAAACATGTGTGACAAGACTCAAACAGGCAAAGATTGAAAACATTTCTTTCTCGGGATGGTGAACAACTTTACCTGAAACGAAACGAAACGAGAGGGTTGTAAGAGCAAGAGCTTTTTGCCCTGTGCAATGCAACTTCCGATTGGTGAAATATTTGGTGAATTTAACTGAAATTGCAAATTTGGCTACCAACATAGCATCTGTGATTTCAATCTTAGAAAAGATTTATCAAGTAATGTTTGTAAACATCTCTTGTCTTGTTTGCCAATCAATTGATGAAATGAAATGAATTGAAACAGGGTTTTATCATCTTGTGACCTCAAAGCTACCAAATTTAGGTATGTATTCCATTTTGGAGTTTCAGGGAGAGCCTAAACTTACTTTCCTGTGCTGCCTCTTCATTGTCAGTTTCCTCAACAGCAGGGGCATCTGCCATTTTATTTCTTGATTCAAATTAACAGAATATCACAAATTATTCTCCCAACAACAATTGACAAATTCACTTTTTAATGATCACTTTTAATCCATAGACTAATTAATAAGTTTCAAAAAATGTCTTTTTAACTTTAAAATCCTACACTCAATGTCTTGTCATTTTCAGAAAAAGATCTTCTGTGGAAAGCCGAAAGTTTGTAAAAGAATACCTTACATTGTTCTACTTTTTGTAACATTATTGTCTCAATATCAGAGTTTAAAATCAAGATATTAACAATAAAACCAGTGTTTAAGGGTCAATTAATGAAGTTTAAAAATGAATTTAATTCCATATTTCTTTTACAATTTCCAATTTCAATTCAAAAATGTCAAATTAAAAAAATAAATAACTATTCCAGCAAGTTTATTGATGGTCAAAGATTACATCATAAACTTCTTCAAGCAGCAAAGTAACAATTCCACTGTCAAAAATTGATCCAAAAGTCACTTCTTAGAATTTTATCAACAATGCCTCCACAATATTTTATTTCGCTTCTACTGTCTGCAATTCCTTCAAAAGTTGTTCGATTCAGAATAGAAAAACCAATTTTAATAAAATCCCTAAAATTCCGCTCCAATCAAGCTAAAATCTGACCAAAAGTAACAAGTCCACGCGTCATTCTGAAAACAATTTCAACCTTCTATACTGTATCTAACTCTTAATTTCAAAATTGTCACGCATGAATTTGCATAACTTATAATCAATATGCAAATAGGATTGATAATAAATTATTATGAAAGGCAGCGGGTAAGCGAATAATAGAATTTGTCACAGTTTAAATTGTAGAATATTTACATCAATAATTCTACACCTGTTAATAAAATAAGGTGCAGCCAACTATATCTTTAACATATGCTTCCTTGGCAGGGTTAAAAACTTATCAAGCGACTAACTAAACACACGAATATTCTGAAATGCTGACACTTTTTTATACAGGCAAAATCTATCCATGTAAAACAAACAACAAAAGTACGCTGGCACCTTTATGAACAGACAAAACGAAAATTTATAAACCAACTAACAAGGTAAACGTCTGAAATATCCGCAATTGTTGGTTAACGCAGACATGAAATATGGTTACTGACTAAACACAAGTCTTGAGTGTTGATCGGTTTTGATATTAGGTTTATCTAAATCAGCTAACAACGCAGAACATGTCCAAAAACTGGAAACTTATGGCACCGACATAATTATAAAAATTAAACAGACGCAAACAAGCTCCGAGCAAAACTAAACAATCAGAACTAAAACCAAGCAAGCTGACTAATCAAGGCCAATGTCCGAATGGAATGTTGTAAGTTTATGGTTTATGGTATAATAACATCAAATTATTTATAATTATACAGAATACTAAATTAGATAAATATTTCACTCATAATTATAACATATATATATTTATTCTCAATATTAGTCACCAACTCAGACCTACACTCATTATTTTCACAATGTCAAGCTTTTTACAAACAGTTTTTAATATCTTGACTGCAATAGCCACATTTGGTGTTTCACAGAATGCAGCGATTTCATCATTGCTTGACATTGTGAAGATGATATTACACAGAACATTTATTATTATACCATTTCAATCTAATCTTTATTACTCAAATTGATAATTGATGTAAAAGAAGTATGTTCTCTTCTTGTGGCCTTGGCCAGTGCTTCTACAGTAGAGTACCTTCTATAACACCCAACACAAACATTGTTTTATTTTGTGTTGGTTGGTATTGTCTATAAGGGGTAGAATAGAAGACAGGTGGGTAAGGACTGGGTATTCAAGATCTGATATTTTGTAATAAAGATATTATCATAATTATCATCAAAACATTCATTTCCAGTTGAGTTACTTCAATAACAACAAAACTTTAACATAAATTTTGAGAAACAGTGGCCTGTTAAATTTAATAATTCTAGAATTTTCTCTGCCATACTCTTACACAAAACAATAATAAAACAGTTAACTTTCTACAAACAAATCTTGATAATTCATTCTAGAGTAGTCTGTATTGTTAAAATTTGACAAAAATAAAAACATTCTGAACATAATCCAGCCTTTCTATGTAATATAAAAAAAACTTTTAAATCCACCCTCTAGAAAAATAAGAACATGTATAAAAACTTCTCCCCTTCTTCCATTTTTCTTCCACTTTTCTTTCAACCCTTCACCCCACCCCCCAACCCCCAAAAAAATTAATAATACCCAACCTGCTTGCCTTTATTTGTCCAGATATTCTTTGTAATAAATAATATTTTCAGAAATCAATTTTCCCCCACCAAAAAAATCAAAAACAAAATAACAGGTAAAAGAATTCTCCTCCTCTACCATTTTTCTATCAACCCTTGCCCCCAAAGATTAATACCCTTACCTCCTTTGCCACTGTCAAGTTCTGGCATATTTTAGACGTGAAAATAATCCAGTATCATAGCTGACTAACTATTCAAATGATTTTTAACTTTGAACGTTTTTCAGCTCCCCTTAACAGATTGCCGAGTATTGATCAGTAATATGCAAAATTTTTCATTATTATTCGTTTTAATGAATAAATAAATATTATATATACATAATAAAATAATATTTTCACTGTTAAATTAATATATCAACACCACTGTTAAAATAGTGTTCAATACATCAACACCACTGTTAAAATAGTGTTCAATACATCAACACCACTTTTAAAATAGTGTTCAATACATCAACACCACTGTTAAAATAGTGTTCAATACATCAACACCACTGTTAAAATAGTGTTCAATACATCAACACCACTTTTAAAATAGTGTTCAATACATCAACACCACTTTTAAAATAGTGTTAAATATATCAACACCACTGTTAAAATAGTGTTCAATACATCAACACCACTGTTAAAATAGTGTTCAATACATCAAGACCACTGTTAAAATAGTGTTCAATACATCAACACCACTGTTAAAATAGTGTTCAATACATCAACACCACTGTTAAAATAGTGTTCAATACATCAACACCACTGTTAAAATAGTGTTCAATACATCAACACCACTGTTAAAATAGTGTTCAATACATCAACACCACTTTTAAAATAGTGTTAAATATATCAACACCACTGTTAATATAGTGTTCAATACATCAACACCACTGTTAAAATAGTGTTCAATACATCAACACCACTTTTAAAATAGTGTTCAATACATCAACACCACTGTTAAAATAGTGTTCAATACATCAACACCACTGTTAAAATAGTGTTCAATACATCAACACCACTTTTAAAATAGTGTTAAATATATCAACACCACTGTTAAAATAGTGTTCAATACATCAACACCACTGTTAAAATAGTGTTCAATACATCAACACCACTGTTAAAATAGTGTTCAATACATCAATTGTAGAGTGTAGAAATACCACTGTTAAAATAGTACTCAATACATCAATTGTAGAGTGACATAGAAATACCACTGTTAAAATAGTACTCAATACATCAATTGTAGAGTGATATAGAAATACCACTGTTAAAATAGTGCTAAATACATCAACACCACTGTA